TTGCCTCAATCAAACAGACACCTTAGCTTGTTAAGGACCTTAACTTGAAAAGGCCAAAGATCCCCACTGTATCCTCCTGGGTGTCCAGATCCATATCTGGCCACCGGACCCAGATGGCTCTGGAGGTGAAAGTGAGGCTGGTGTCCTTGCACAGCCCTCTCTCACTTAAATCCAATTCACTTGCAAGTCATGGCTTCACCTTCCTGCTGTCATGGTTCTCTTTGAGAACAAAGGACAAACAGCAACCCTCGGGCAGCTAGGTGGTGAAGTGGACAGAGTACCTGACCTGAGTCAGAAAGAATCACTGTCCTGAAATCAAATCTGACTTCAGATACTTACTAGCTGTGTGACCCTGGGCAAACCACTTAACCTTGTTTACCTTAGTTTCCTCATCTGTAAAATGAGCTGGAGAAGGAAATGGCAAACCATTCCAATATCTCTGCCCAAAAAAACCAAACAAACCCATATGAGGTCACAAAGAGTCAGACACAACTGAACAATTACAACATACATACCCTGCATTCTCCTACCTGTGAACCAATATTTTGTCACAAAATTTGTTTAGTTCTTACCAACGTATTACTTGTAATTTTTTTAAAGTTTTGATTTCACACCCATATGCTGTACCAAACAGGATACCCTGCATATAATTAGAACTTAAATGTTTACTGAACTGAAATTACCTACTGTCTACTATACATATGGATTCAACTTGTCTTTTGGATTATACTATATATACTTTCTTAAGCTGCTAAATGACTGTAAAGTTCTTATGGGCATGCATAATGCTTTTCAGACTTCTTTTGTACATCTGAAAGTGTCTAGTACAGTACCAGATGTATAACATGTTCTCAGCAAAAGCTTGTTTCTGATGGAGAGTGAATATTTTGGTGTTTCTACATCTAGGCATGACAACTCAAGCACACAGACACCTATCTGGTGACAATTTGCTAGTCTAATACTTGTAAACATTTTTTCTTTTTCTTTTTTTTCTTCATAAATCTACAGGTCTGGCAGATAGAAAACTGGCCTTGGAACCAAGAAGACCTGAGTTCAAGTGCCTCCAATGACACATAGTAGGGCACAATGCCTCAGCAAGTTAAACTTATCAGTGCTCTGCAGTCTAGACAACTCTGTAACTTGTAGGAAAGATGTTTCCTTACCTGTGAGCTTCCTATACCAGTGAAATCACAACTCCAGTGCCCAACCCTATTTCCTCCCTTTAGTCAATGTCTTTGGCAAGGTGTGCTTATATGTGATAAAAAGTACGAACGGCCAGGTAGTCCGGTTTATGAAGAACTGGGCTTGCAGTCAGGAAGGTCTGAATCTTTCGCCAAGACACTAGAGGTGTGACCTTGCACAAAGTCACTTATTCTCTCTCTGCCTCAGTTTCCTCCTCTCTCTGTAAAATAGGGGTAATACAGTAGCACATACTTCCACAGGGTTGTTTCTAGGGACATGCCCTTGGAGACTCCGCTCCTCCCTCTTTACCTGACGGGAAGCTCCGGGCTCCAGAGCACAGCCTCCGGAGCAGAGAAGCCACGATCGCCCCTTCGCAGCCCACCATCGTCCTGATCCCAGCCGACCCTCCACCGAGAAACAAGTGAAAGCGCTCTCAGCGCGCCCCGATGACGGCCACGAGGGCGGGCCGCGGGCGCACTCTTATGACGCAGCCTTCCTCTCCGCGCTCGGGAGGGGAAGGGGCTGCCCTGGAGGAAAAACTTTCTCCTCGTCCCGAGGCGTCACGTCTTCCTTAGTGCCCGCCGCAGTTCCTAGTGGCTGGGAAGATCTAGCCAGGGTTCCTATTGGCTGAGAGCCAGACCGGCGTAGGGCGAGCGCTGCCGGGGCTGCCTTGGAGATGGAAACACCCCTGCCCTTGAGAGAATTAAGTAGGGGAGGAAAGGCACTAGCTCTGCAGTGGAGTACCTGAGTCAGGGGTTCGAGGCCCAGATCGGTAACTCTAGGAGAGAACACGAGTCATCATAAATTTTTCTTGCTAACAGTGTGCTTACGGATGACAAGAAAAATAGGGCGGACTTCACACCTATGAAATTGACTAACGTGACAGAAAAGAAAAATGACAAATGCTGGAGGGGATGTGGAAAAATAGAGACATTAATGTGCTTTTGGTGGAGTTGTGAACTGGTCCAACGATTCTGGAGAACAATTTGGAGCTATGCCCAATGGGCTATAAGGCTGGGCATACCCTTTGACCCAGCAATACTAGATCTGTATCCCAAAAAGATCAAAGAAAAGAGAATATGTACATATGATATATGTACAAAAATACTTATAGCAGGTGTTCTGGTGGTGGCAAAGAATTGGGGATGCCCATCAATTGGGGAATAGCTGAACAAGTTGTGGTGTATGATTCTCATGGAATACTATTGTGCTATAAGAAATGAAGGGGATGGTTTCAGAAAAACTTAAGACCACCTGTAAGAACTGATACAGAATGAAGTGAACAGAACCAGGGGAATACTGTGCAACAGTACAACAGGGCAATATTGTAAGGATGATCACCTGTGAAAAACTTAGCTGTGAAAAAGAAATCAGCTTTTTAAAATTGATTTATTTTTAGTTTGATAAATAAGATTAGGTTCCTTTCTTTAGGAAGACCTAACTCTAAACCAAGCCAGACTAACATAGTTTTTAAAATCTAGGTTACCTATAGATTCAGTGAATAGATTGAGACTATCATTTAGTAGCAAATAATTTAGAAGAATAAAATAATCATAAGATTATAAGGTTTTTCCCTTTCTAGCAAAAAGGGGAGTTATCAGAGGCCAAGTTCCCCCTTCTGGCAGCTGGAGAAAGGTTAGCCAGAGGTTAAGTTTTCTTTTTCTTTAGCTAGAGTCTAAGTTGAATAATGGAATCTACTAAGGAAGATGTGGTGGTGACTGCTAACCACTGAGAATTCCTCTTCCCAGTACACTTTCTGGTTACAAAAGGTACCACTTGGAGGAAAGGACATCTGTCATGGGATTCAGAAAGTCTGGGAGAAGCTAACTAGTTGTGACCTGCCTTGTCCAATGGAATTATGTTGAAAACAAGTTTCTATGACTTTTCCAATTCCTCTTTTCTGTTATAAAAATAATTTCTGTAAATCACTCCTTGTCTCTGACCTCTGAGGAGTCAGGTGACCTGGTTTAGTACGCAAATGGTAGCTTTGCAAATTAAATGGTAGATAGCTCAGCTCAGTAGCTTTGTCCTCGGTTTCCTTTTTATTTTAGATAATCAATGTTAACAGCTACTCTGATCAAGACAATGATCTAAGACAATTCCAAATGACCTACGATAAAAAAAATGCCATCCATATCCTGAGAGAGAACTGATAGACTATGAGTGCAGACTGAAGCATAATTTTTTTTACTTTCTTTCATGCTTTTTATTTTTTGTTTTGTTTTTGCAGCATGGCTAATGTGGAAATTGCTTCCCATCACATGTACACAACTGATATTTTGCTTACCTTCTCAATGGGGTAAAAGGGTGGAGGAGATAATTTGGAACTATTTTTTGAATTAAAAACAAATTAAGAATTAAAAAATAACTACAGACAGTAAAAAATATGGACCTATCATGACATACATAGGAACAATGTGAACACAATTACAAAACAAACTTCATATGAATAGGTCTTAATAAAAGCAAAAAAAATGCTTCATTCATGCTACCCATGAGCAATGAATATTTCTCCAAATAATAAAAGGTGGGGTGGGGAAAGGAAGGAATCCTTTTCTCCAATATTCTATTTCTGACATAACCATTTTTTTCTATTGTACGTTTGAGCCTAAATTTCTCTTTAAAGGTTAGATCATCTGGCTCCCTCCATTTTTCTAAAGTGTTCTCTTCAAATTTTCTAAGAGCACTTTGGTTCCCTCCTTGCTACCATCATACCCTACCCTTATATTTTCTTTGTACTTGTGGCATCTCCCCTCCAGTAGAATTTAAACTCCTCCAGGACAGGGTACTTATTTTCTTTCTTTAAAAGTTTATTCATGCCTTTTGTTTTTATATCACAGTGATTTCTGGATTTATTTGCTTCCCACCTTCTCCCATGAGTCTCCTCTTACTACAGAAAAATGGTTAAGCAAAATGTACCAACACAACCATCAATTCAAAAACAAACAAACAAACAAAAAGGGGCAACTAGGTAGGTGGCATAGTGAATAGAGCACCAGACCTGGATTCAGGAGGACCTGAGTTCAAATCTGGCCTCAGACACATAACACTTACTAGCTGTGTGACCCTGGGCAAGTCACTTAACCCCATCGCCTAGCCAAAAAAACCAAACAACCAACCATCAATTCATCTGAAAGGGGGGGCTGCCATTTTTCCTCTGGTTCTTGAACAAATTAATATTTAATAGAATAGAATAGAATAGAATAGAATAGAATAGAATAGAATAGAATAGAATAGAATAGAATAGAATAGAATAGAATAGAATAGAATAGAATAGAATAGAATAGAATAGAAACAGAAACAGGCTGACAGTGTTCCATTTAAGGAAGGTAAGTTCAGAAGCTTACTTCTCTATTGTTACCATGTTGGTATGGGGACATAGTTGCCTACTCCTTCAGTACAGTGCCTTATTTAAATATTTGTTGAATGAATATGGTCAGGTAAATAATATCAGGTTTTCCAACGCAAAAATCTACACTTCACCAGTCTGTGGAAGAATGCCAACTAAAGACTAGATTTCTCTTTCTTTGGTGAGAAGAAACCAGAACTACTTTGATGGCTAGAACTTTAAGGTGTGATTTGGTTGGACTGGATAAATAGATGTTTTCAGGAACATTTAAAAACTACTCTCCCTTTCTCCCCACCAAGAAGAAAAATCTCTAACTGGTCACTGGAAAGCATTCATTTGAATATGACAGTAGACCCTCTACTTACTACTTCAATGAGAAGGCAAGAGGGTAACTTTAAAAACTAATAGATTTTCAGGATCTTTTGCTTACAGAATAACCCTATGAGTCTAAACACACGTGTAATCATTCTAAGATTTCAAATATTTTGTTTTAATTAATAGTTTTAATGCACATTAAGTAGAGAAGAGCTATACTTTTTATCCTACAGCTCTAACCAGAAGTTACAATTTGACAAAAAAATTGCAAGTAATATTTACAAAAGTCAACATTTCACTACAATACATTAATCAGCATCTTAACAGTGAAAGAAAACAACCCAGTAATTCTTCATTTTGAGCTTTTCCATTAATAAAGAGCAGAAAACAACACTTGTTGGCAACTATAGAAATTAGCCTTGCTAATAATATTGACAGTGGTGAGAAATGGCTGCAGTTTCTCTTTTCAGTGAGGATAATGAATGTCTGCATACACAAAAGCAGCTTGTATTGGTAAGAATACAAGGCAGAAGGCCTTAAGAAAGACGTTTCCTGAAAACCTCCTGCTTCTGGTAGTCATCACAAGATAAGAGTTACAAATCCCTGCTGCAACTCAAGTCAATATTAAACGACTTTTCATTATAAACTAGTTTGGTGTAATTAGAAGGAAACAACAGTAGGTTGGCACTGGGATTACACTCAGAAAGGGGAAGCACTCTGTGGCAAGACACAGGGAAATGTTTCTGTAAACAAGGATCAATCGTCTATAAAAGAAGAAATTATCCTTGAACAATATTCTGCAGCATCAGCAATCATTTCCACAAAACTTCATCAGCCTCTTCTGAAATTCAGGCTACTACCTAAAGTGTGTTTGAATTTAAAAGAAAAAAAAAACAGTAACAAACTATCACTAAAATTGCCTTTATAACTACACTGGAAAAAAAAAAGCCTGAAGACACTAAATGAAAACAAACTAATAAGATTTGCATATATTAAAGATTTAGACTTAATCTTCCTCTTTGAGAATGTTGCATTAGTTGATAAACCATGGAATAACTCAAAAGAATAACTCTTTACTGCCAAATATTAGTGAATTTCAAGGCATCTATTACTTATTTTTACTACAATAAAAGCTATAAATTATTTCCTGTCACATTTCATTAAATACATGTGCTTGTGCAGAAAAATCATAAATATTATAAACAGATAAATGTTTTGAAATGTGCTTGTATGTGTTATAAGGAAGCTAAATTTCTCCTCAGAAATCTAGTTGGGTACATTTTTAAAACTTGTATCTGAAAATGCTCTGAGAAATTTAGGTTGTATTACAATCTGGAGTAAGAGGGATTTAGCATGAATTGAAAGGTGTGAGAGCAGAATCCCAAAGCACATATCCATAGTCAAACAGGAATATAAAACATGTCTTAAAACATCCTTCAAAAAAAAAAACAAACCCCAAACATCCTTCCCAGAACATTTCTGAAGCTTGAAATGGCCTTTAAAAGTACTAACTACAAAACATAACAGGAAATAGACCTTAAGAGAATCAAGGAAAACTCTACCTTCTCCCACTTTTGGAAGCAATGGGTATTATTCTCAGAAAACACAGATCAACTCTAAAAGACAGGTAAAAGTTCAAAGGGCACCTATTTCCTTGAAACAAATTTCTGTTTTACTCCGCTGCCATAGAAGTTCAGAAAGTATGGCTAGTGTTATCTATTATCTAATAATAATTTTAAGTTATGCAGGAGCTGCCTATGCCTAAGATTGATAGTTCATGGAGTAAGATGATGGACATTTTTGCATCTCATATTACCAAACTGGGGCTAAAATTTAAAAGTTTAATGCTAGTTATATGACTGTTTACAATTTTCTTACCAACTGCTAAAAACATGATGGATTAGGAGTTTATCTCATTTTACAAAGCAACCTCTACTATAGGGTTGGTTAGCATAACCCTGCAGTATAAAAAAGTGTCACAGAAAAAGTTGTTCATGTTATGCCATGGGAATTTGGCTCATTAGTTTCAGTCCAGTCTCATGAACTAATGGCCTTCAAATTTAACAAAATTTCTCAGATTGTCTGAAAAAATGATAAAATTCTCTTTATTTCCACTTCCCTTGCAAAAATTTAAATAGTCTAAGCCTAAAAGATTTTTCATAGCCACTAAGCTGAGATTCTACAATTCAAACTCAGTTCTCAGTTCAAACTGTTGTTATAGGTTACAAAATCCTCAAATAGAAATTGGTTATGTAAACACTGACATAATCCAAAACTACAGCAGCAATAATAGTATCACAGTGCAGAAAATGCCTGAATTCTAGAAAAATACATTTAGTATTTGTACAAAATTGTACAGATGAGTTTTGGAGGTTCAGTATGGTAGCTCAGTCAGCTTGGAAGGAACAAGAATTGTGTTCAGAATCAGCTTGGTCGGTTTCTCATCTCTTCCTGAGCAGCTGTAAGTTTCCGAATGAGATAGTGCTTGTCTCGACTTTCCTAAAAATAAATAAATACATATATTTGGAGATACAATAACCTTCTTTCGAGGCTACAACATTTGCCACACAATTAAATGACAGGGAATTAGTTGGATTCTAGACCCAACTGACAACACACTCGCCCCCATCCCCCAACATGTCATAACTAGGTAGCTTCATGATAATTAATCTAGCTTTCATGGTGTAGCATAGAACACGCAACTGTTTAAGTCTTACATTATACCTCATCATTTTCTACCCTTGTATAAATGTGTGAAATCTCTGCTAGGACAGGAAAACTGATGATTTTAAACTAAACAGTCTTTTCCTTTAACTGTATCTATCTTACCCAGTCTGGAAATGCAATGACCACTCCCTGACCCCACTGCTGATTGACTTGGAAGTTTTGGCCCGCTCTGTTTCCGACTTGGGTTGCATGCAAGGTACTAGACTGTAAGAATTATGGGGAGGAGAAGCTAGGTGGCATGGTGTATAAAGCTCCTGCCTTGGAGTCAGGAGGACCTGAATTCAAATCTAGTCTCTGGCATTTGACACTTACCAGCTGTGTGACCCTGGGCAAGTCACTTAACCCCTAATGCCTCACCAAAAAGCAAAAAGAAAAAAAGTTTAATTATGAGGACAAAGATCATATTTTACCTAAATTCCATTATCTTATTCAGTGCCTAGGACAGTGCTGTATAATAGCAAGGTTTTAATAAATGCTTGTTCAGATGACATCACTCAATGAAGAAATGAATATAACAGAGAAAGCCAAAAAACCAAGACCAGGCTAATGTCGGAATGCTAGCTGTCATGTTACCATTTGATCTGCTTGTTGTTATGGTTCAGTTGTTTTTCAGTTGTGTCCAACTCTTGGTGATGCCATCTGGGGTTTTCTTGGCAAAGATACTGGAGTGACTTCCCATTTCCTTCTCCAGCTCATTTTACACATGAGGAAACTGAGGCAAATGGACATGCCTAGAGTGACACAGCAAGCAAGTATCTGAGGCTGGATTTGAACTCAGGAAGATGTGTCTTCCTGACTCCAGGCCCAGTGCTTTGTGCCACCTAGCTGCCCTGAGTCTGCAAAACTGTACGAGGCAGCACCAATGGGCTGTTGAAGAAGACAAAAACAAGCATATAATCTACACTAGCTCAGCTGAACACAGACTCTTGTTGTAGCCTTCTGGCTGGTCCACCTGCCTCAAGTCTCTTTCCAATCCAGGCCATCCTCCAGGCATCTGTCAAATGGATCTTCCTCGAGTACAGGTTTCACCATGTCACCACTCCAGTGGTCCCTGATTTCCTCCAGGATCAAATATAAAAATCGTCTGTTTGACTTTTTTTTTTTAATTTATTTTTAGTTTCAACATTCACTTCCACAAGGTTTTGAGTTCCAAATTTTCTCCCCATCTCTTACCTCCCCCAAATCCAAAACAGCATGCCTTCTGATTACCCCTTTCCCCAATCTGCCCTCCCTTCTATCACCTTCTCTCTCTTATCCCCTTCCCCTCTACGTTCCTGTAGGGTAAGATAGATTTCCATACCCAATTGAGTGTATGTTATTCCTTCCTTAAGCCGAATCCAATGACAGTAAGGTTCACTCATTCCCTCTCACCTCCCTCTTCTTCCCCTCTACAGTAAAAACTTTTTCTTACCTCTTTTATATGAGATAATTTACCTCATTCTATCTCTCCCTTTCTCCTTCTCCCACTACATTCCTCTCTCACCCCTTAATTTTATTTTTTAGGTATCATCCCTTTATATTCAACTCACAACTGTGCCCTCTGTCTAGATGTACTCCCTCTAACTACCCTAATAATGAGAAACGTCTCATGAGTTACAAATATTTTCTTTACATGTAGGAATGTAAACAGTTTAAATTTAAAAGTCTCATGATTTCTCTTTCCTGTTCACCTTTTCATGTTTCTCTTGAGTCTTGTCTTTGAGAGTCAATTTTTCTATTCAGCTCTGGTCTTTTCATCAAGAATGCTTGAAAGTCCTCTATTTCATTGAATATCCACTTTCTCCCCTGAAGGATTATACTCAGTTTTGCTAGGTAGGTGATTCTTGGTTGTAATCCTAGCTCCTTTGCCCTCCAAAATATCATATTCCAAGCCCTCCAATCCTTTAATATAGAAGCTGCCAAATCTTATGTTATCCTGATTGTGGTTCCACAATACTTGAATTGCTTCCTTCTGGCTTCTTGCAATATTTTCTCCTTGATCTGGGAACTCTGGAATTTGGCTATAATATTCCTGGGAGCTTCCCTTTTGGGATTTCTTTCAGGAGGTGATCTATGGATTCTTCCTATTTCTATTTTACCCTCTGGTTCTAGAATATCAGGGAGTTTTCCTTGATAATTCCTTGAAAGATGATGTCTAGGCTCTTTTTTGATCATGGCTTTCAGGTAGTCCAATAATTTTTAAATTCTCTCTCCTGGATCAGTTTTCCAGGTCAGTTGTTTTTCCAATGAGATATTTCATATTGTCTTCTATTTTTTCATTCTCTTGGTTTTGTTTTACAATGTCTTGATTTCTCATAGTGTCATTTGTTTCCATTTGCTCCTTTCTAATTTTTAAGTAATTATTTTCTTCAGTGAGCTTTTGACCTCCTTTTCCATTTGGCCAATTCTGCTTTTTAAGGCATTCTTCTCCTCATTGGCTTTTTGGACCTCTTTTGCTGTTTGATCTAGTCTATTTTTTAAGGTGTTATTTTCTTCAGTATTTTTTTGGGTCTCTTTTAGCAAGCTGTTGACTTGTTTTTCATGATTTTCTTGCATCACTTTCATTTCTCTTCCCAATTTTGCCTCTGTTTCTCTTACTTGATTTTCAAAATCCTTTTTGAGTTCTTCCATGGCCTGAGAACAATTCATATTTTTCTTGGAGGCTTTGGATGTAGGAGCTTTGACTTTGTTGTCTTCTTATGCATGGTATGTTTTGATCTTCCTTGTCACCAAAGTAAAATTCTATAGTCTGAGTATTTTTTCTGCTGTTTGCCCATTTTCCTGGCCAATTACTTGACTTTTTAACTTTTTTTTTTTAAGGTAGGTTTCTGCTTCCGGTGTGGAGAATGTGGTTTCCCAAGCTTCAGGGGTTGTATGCAGCTATTTTCAGAGATACTTCTAGGGACCTGTAAATCTTCAGTTTTGCCAAGGTGATATGATCTAAGGAGAAGAGTTGACTCCTCTCCTAGCCTGTGTTCTGGTCTATAAGTGGGCTATAAACACTCTTTCCTGCCCTGGAACTGTGAGGAGGGTTCCCTCTCCACCGCTTCCAAAGGCTCTTGCCCCAGGACTGCCACCCAGGAATGTGAACCAGATCCAAGTATGGGCAAAGCAACAGAATTCTGCCTCAGTGCCAGCACAGAGATCCCTGTCATCTCCTTCTGATCAGTTGTTTGATCCCCTTACCATCTGTGGGCTGAGAGCTCTGGAAGCTGCGCTGGGCTGGGAGGTGGGGGCAGGACCGCACTCCTCTCCCACCCAGGTCCAACACCCCTTTCCTACTGACTTTTTAAGCTGTCTTTGGGGTTTGTGGGTTCAGAAGTCTGGAAACTGCCACAGTTGCTCATGATTCAGTCCCCTGAGGCCTGCTCCAGGCCCATTGGAGCCCTTGGTCTGTGCTGGCATGGTTTGTGCTGGTGCTGCACACCTCTCTCAGCCTGGTGCAACAGCCCTTTCCCTGTGAACCTTCCAGGCTGTCTTGGGCTGGAAATTTGTTTCATTCTGTCTTTTTGTGGGTTCTGCTGCTTTAGAAGTTGTTTAGAGTCATTTTTTACAGGGATTTGGGGAAGAGCTCAAGTGAGTCTCTTACGCCGCTATCTTGGCTCTGCTCCCCGCTCCCTGCCATCTGTTTGACTTTTAAAGCTCTTCATAACCTGGTCCCCTCTTACCTTTCCATTCTTCTTATATCCTACTCACTGTTATATATTCTGTGATCCAGGCAAACTATCTCCAGACCTCAGTGCACTTTCACAGGCTGGCCTCTGTGCGTGGAATGCTGCCCCTCCTCATCTCTACCTCCTAGCTTCTTGACTTCCTTCAGGTTCCAACTAAAATCTTCTTCAGGAGGCCTTTCCTGGTCCTTAATGCTTTGGCTTCCATCTGAAATTATTTCCAGTTTATCCTGTCTTTATCTTGTTTGTACAAACTAATTTATTTGTTGTGTCCCTCAGATTGTGAGGCTCCTTCAGAGCAGGGAGTGATTTTTCTTTCTTTACATCCCTAGTGCTTAGCATGCCACACATGTAATGGACAATTGATAAATGCTAGCAGACTTGATTCTTTACACACTTAAGGTATTTGCTGTTTAAGTACAGCATTTATTCAGATATTCTTTTAGACTTCTTTGTTTACTTCCAGTGAAGAAACAGAACACAGCCATCTGCTAACATGGATTTCCCACTCTACTGATTTGGTCAAACTAAACTCTGTGTTCTGTAATGAATTATCCTTGTTAGAATAGGAAGTTCTTGTGATCAGGGCCCATTTCTTATTTATCTTTGTCTCTCTAGTCCCTAGAACAGTATCTGTCATGTAGTAGGTACTTAATAAGTATATATTGATTCACTAATTAAGAATAAAGTTATGGAACTATGTTTTATATGACTTCACATGTATAATAGGTATTATATTGTTTGCCTTCTCAACAGGTTGGGGAGGAGAGATGGAAGGAATTTGGAACTCAAAATAAAAAAAATTATGTTAAAATTTTTTTGGGGGGGTGAGGCAATCGGGGTTAAGTGACTTGGCCAGGGTCACACAGCTAAGTGTTAATGTGTCTGAGGCCAGATTTGAACTAAGGTCCTCCTGACTTCAGGGCCAGTGCTCTATCCACTGTGCCACCTAGCTGCCCCAAAAAGCTTTTAAAGAAAAGAACGAAGTTAAGTAAAATGGGATAAGCAGTTATCTAGATTTTGACTTTGCTTGTGGGTGAGTGTTAATTTTAATTCGGTCTAACCGAAGGAAGAGGTGCTAGAGAGGGGAGAAGCAGAGTGTAAAAAGGAGGACAAAGACAGATTAGGTGTATAGGAGGAACTGCTACAAATCTTTTTAATCCTCCCTTGCCACTAGGAATTTCTGGATTTCTGTACTATACTCAAAATCTGTCAGATACCTCCCAGCCTCCCCAACCCATTCCCATACCCCATCCTCTTCTAATGCTGCCTCAAATTCAGAGACACCTTCTACCACACTACCTTCTAGATGACAAGATCAAGACTGACCTTCCCTAGGAGTTGTCAAAGAAATTTCCCAACAAGAAATCATAGGAATTTTAAGGGCAATAAAAAGTGCTTAAAGGGTTAGAATAGAAAAGAGGTGTTGACTCCTACGTACCTGACTGACGAGCAGTTTTCCCTGTGCTACATTCCACAGCTACGTGTAATTTATAATGAAGCTTTTAGGGCTATAACTTGTCTTTTCTACATTCTCTAAGGTCCAGAATCTTTGTCTTATTCTTTTTTTGGGGGGGCAGTTCGGGTTAAGTGACTTGCCCAGGGTCACCCAGCTAGTGAGTATCAAGTGTTTGGTCTGAGGCCGGATTTGAACTCAGGTCCTCCTGACTTCAGGCCAGCACTCTATCTACTGTGCCACCTAGCTGCCTAAGGTCCAGAATCTTACTATCTCTATTCCAAAACTAACCCTTCCCTTACTACCTCCAAATGACTATGAAAATGTAAGCCATTCGAAGGCAAGGGCTGTTGTTTTTCTCTTTGTGTCTCCAGCACCTAGCACTATGCGTTGAGCATAGTAAATGCTTATGAAATATTTGTTCATTAATTGAATAGCTCATCCAAGCACCATGTACAGTGCTAGTGCTTAATAAATGTTAATAATAATGAAGTTAGAGACACTTATTCACTTTGTACAAGGGAACACTGTCAGCATCTTAGCCAGATTTTCCTTTAGAAAAGTCTGGCAGATCAACCTTGCCCTCTAGTCTTTGTGGGGAGATATCTGTTCTGTCAGTCTGTATCCCTACAATTATTGCTAAGTATATCAGCCTAAGCGTCATATATCTTAGCATGTTCTTACTGAGTAGTCTGGATTAAAAATCACCATGATAGTGACCCCCTTCTGATCAAGGTAAAAAAACCTGTACAAAGAACAAGCTATACAAGTCCCCGTTATGCTGGGTCACTAGGCAGAGCTTCTAGAAAGTCATTCCACTTCTGCCTTGAAAAACTCTAGGTTTTGTATAGGCCATAGAGGAAAGATGGGCCTCTGGGATCATTCCACTCTGGATTCCTCCTTACCATAGCCAACTGCTCTCTGAGTTGAATCACTACCCGTTTGTGTGCTCCAGCCAGGGCAATGAAATAGAACATGATGAGACTGCAAAAGTAAGAAAGGGAGCAAAAAAAAAGTATACTACGTGAGTTTAAGGATTTTAAAACATTATTTGCAGCAAAAGCAGTAATCAGAAGAAAATGTATATCTCTAAATGCTTATATCAATAAAATAGAGAAAGAACAGACCAATGAATTGGGTATGCAATGAAAAAACTAGGAAAAGAACAAATTAAAAATCCCCAATTAAACACCAAAGTGGAAACCCTAAAAATTAAAGGTGACATTAATAAAACTGAATGTAATAAAACCATTGAATTAATAAATAAACACTAGGAGTTAGTTTTATGGGGGGGGAGAAACAGATAAATCATTGCTTAATAAGATTTTTTAAAAACTAGAGAAAAAAACCAAATCAATAGTGTCAAAAATAAAAAGAGTGAATATACCACTAATGAAGATGAAATCAAAGCAGTTACTAGGAGTTATTTTGTCCAATTATATGCTAATAAATTTACAATTTAAGTGAAATGGAAGTATATTTACAAAAATATAAACTGCCTAGATTATTTAGAATATCTAAATAAACCTATTTTAGAAAAAGAAATCAAACAGGCATTAAATGAGCAGCTTCCTAAGAAAAAAGCATCAGCACCAGATGGATTTACAAGTGAATTCTACCACACATTTAAGGCTCAACTAATTCCAATATTAAATTATTTGGAATAATAAGCAAAATAGGGTCCTACAAAATTCCTTTTATGAAACAAATGTGATCTGATACCTAAGCCAGGAAGAGCAACAACAAAGAAAGAGAACTATAGACCAATTTAACTAAGAAATATGAATGCAAAAATCCTAAATAAAATACTAGCTAGGGGATTAAAACAATATATCACAAAGATTATACATTTTGTCCAAGTAGGATTTATACCAGGAATGCAGGGATGGTTTAGCATAATGAAAACTATTAACATAATTTATTACATCAATAACAAAAATGATATGATTATATCAATAGATGCAGAAAAAGCTTTTGACAAAAATACAACACTCATTTCTATTAAAAAAAAAACACTTGAAAGCATAGGAATAACTGAATTTTTCCTTAAAATTATAAGAAGCATCTACATAAAACCATTAGCAAGCATTATTTGTAATGGGGATAAGCTAAAAAGCCTTCTCAATAATATCGAGTGAAACAGGGATGCTTACTATCAGCAGTGTTATTCAATATTGTATTAGAAATGCTAGCAATAGCAATAAGAGAAGAAAAAGAAATTGAGGGAATCAAAATGGGCAATGAGGTAATAAAACTATCTCTTTTTGCAGATGACATGATATACTTGGAAAATCCTGGAGACAAATAAAAAGCTAGTTGAAATAATAATTTTAGCAAAGTAGTAGGATATAAAATAAACCCACATAGATCATCAGCATTTCTATATATCACCAACAAAACCCTGCAAGAAAAGACAGTAAAAGATACTCCATTTTAAATAACCGTAAGCAACATAAACTACCTGGAAGCATACCTGCCAAGACAAACCCAGAAATTACTTCAGTGTAATTATAAAACACTTTTTCTAACAGCCACATTGTATGATGACCAATTTTGATAGACTTAGTTCTTCTCAGCAATGCAAGGGTCTTAGACATCTCCAAAAGATTCATGACGGAAAATGCTATCCACATCCAGAGAAAGAACTATGGAGTCTGAATGCAGATGGAAGCATACTATTTACTTTTTTTCCTACTGTTTTGTTTTGTTTCTTCTTTCTCCTAGTTCCTCCTATTGGTTCTAATGCTTCTTTATAACATGACTAATGTGAAAATATGTTTAATAGGAATGTATGTATAGAGCCTATAACAGATTGTACACCGTCTCGGGGAGGCAGGAAGGGAGGAAGGAAGGGAGAAAAAATTTAAAACTCAAAAGCTTATGGAAGTGAATGTTCAAAACTAAAAGTAAATAAATTAATAATAAAGAAAGAAAAAAACACTTTTTACGGTGGGTAGAACTAATATAATAAAAATGATAATTCTACCTAATTTAATCTACTTATTCAGTGCCATCCCAATTAAATTACCAAAATAAATATTTTATTGAGTTAGAAAAAGTAAAAATAAAATTCATCTGGAAGAACAAAAGGTCAAAGATATCAAAGGAATTAATGGAAAAAAATTAAAGGAAGTTTAGCAGTACCAGATCTTAAAACTATATCATAAGGCAGCAATTATCAAAACTATCTGGTAGTGGCTAAGAAACAGAAAGGTAGGTCAATGGGACAGAGTAGACATATAATACATAGTAGTAAATGATTATAGTAACCTTGTATTTGACAAACATAATGAGTCTTCGGGAAAAGAATTTATTATTTGGTAAAAACTGTTGGGAAAGCTGGAAAGCAGTTTGGCAGAAATTGGGCATAGACCAATATCTTATACTATTTACCAAGATAAGGCCAAAATGAATACATGATCTAGATATAAAGGGAGATATTTCAAGAAAATTTGAAGAACATGGAACATATTACCTATCAGACTTATGGATAGGAGAAGAGTTTATGAATAAACAGGGGATAGAGAACATTATGAGATATAAAATGAATAATTTTAAGTACATTAAATTCAAAAGTTTTTGTACAAATAAAACCAGTGTTGCCAAGATTGGAAGGAAAGCAGAAAATTAGGAAGAGATTTTATAGATAGTTTCTCTGATGAAGGCCTCAAATACATAGGGGCAGCTAGGTGGCACAGTGGATAGAGCACTGGCCCTGAAGTCAGGGGGCCCTGAGTTCAAATCCAGCCTCAGATCAAACACTTGACACTTACTAGCTGTGTGACTCTGGGCAAGTCACTTAACCCCAATTGTCTTTAAAAAAAAAAAAGCTATGTGTAGTCATATGGAAAAATGCTTTAAGTCATTATTGATTAGAGAAATAGAAATTAGAACAACTTTGAGATGTCATCTCACACCTATCAAATATCATCTCAGCTAACATGATGGAAGGGGAAAATGACAAATGTTAGAGAGAAGTGGAAAAATTGGGACACTAATACACTATTGGTGGAACTGTGAACTAATCCAACCATTTTAGAGAATAATCTGCAATTATGCCCAAGGAGTTATAAAATTGTATATAGCCTTTGACCCAGCAATACCACTATTAGGTCTGTTTCCCAAGGTGATCAGGGAAAAAGTGAAAGAACCTATAGGTTCTAAAATATTTATAGCAGCTCTCTTTGTGGTGGCAAAGAACTGGAAACTGAAGGGATGCCCATCAATTGGTGAATGACTAAACTATTTGTGGTATATAATTGTGATAGAACACTACTATGCTGTAAGAAATGAAAAGCAGGCTGATTTTAGAAAAAACATGGAAAGACTTGCATGAAATAATGAAAAGTGAAATGAACAGAACCAAGGGAACAATGGGTACAATAACAGTAATATTGTTCAAAGAAAAACTGAACGACTGAATTACTCTGAGTATTATAAACACTCAAATCAACTGCAAAGGACCTATGGAGGAAGATACTATCCATCTCCAGAGAAAAAACTGATAAATAGAAGTAAAAACCCTCTGCAAACATTTTTGGCAATGAAACATAAAGCCCCCACCCTAGATATCAAGCCATAAGCAAGTTAGACAGCCAACTAATAAATAAAAAGACCCTTCCTTGAAGGACTTCATGTCCAGTGAACTCTTCACTTATCTGTCACCTTAATGGAAAACAAGTCACACATGATATAAAAATACAAGGTTTTTCCCCCTTTGAGCCTGATCTTTTATTCCATGGGTATAGGAAACTCACAGTGAAGGAGCTCCCTCTATCAATGCAGATTATACCTTTTCTGCAAGGAATAGTCTTCAGCCAATCGCCACAGTGGACTACAAGTTTAAGTAATTTGCTCAGGGTCACACAGTCAGCATGTGTTCAGAGGTGGTACTTGAATCCAGGTTTTTTTTATGTCCTAAAACCAGCTTTCTATTCACTATGCTGTGATGCTCTTCTAAAAATAGCAAATAATCTAAACATAATAATTTATGCACTGGGTATGGAATAATTTGTATGTGATAGGTCACTTTATTTAAGTAGTATTTAGTCACATTAAGCCTAAATTCTACTGCCTGGACAAGGCCTTCTGTTATGTATTCTATATAATCTAAAGTATTGTTAGAAGTCCTACACAATCCATCCAATCCAATTTCCTCCTTCTCCTCCTCCTCCCACTACTACCACTACCACCACCACCACCACCACCACACCACCACCACCACCACCACCACCACCACCACCACCACCACCCACCACCACCACCACCACCACCACCACCACCACCACCACCACCACCACCACCACCACCACCACCACCACCACCACCACCACCACCACCACCACCACCACCACCACCACCACCACCACCACCGGACAGCTAGGTGGCACAGTGGAAAAAGCACTGGCCCTGAAGTCTGGAGGACCTCAGTTCAAATCTGACCTCAGACAACACACTTGACACTTACTGGTTGTGTGACCCTGGGCAAATCACTTAACCTCAATTGCCTAAAAAATAATAAAAAATAACAATAATGGCTAATATTTATATAGCACTTTAAGGTTTACAAAGGACTTTACAAATATTATCTCACTTTATTCTCACAACAAATAGGGGAAAGTATGATTATTCCCACTTTACAGGTGAAGAACCGAAGACAGACAAAGGTTAAGTGACTTGCCCAGGGTCACACAACTTGGTGAGTGTCTGAGACAGCATTTGAACTCAGGTCTTCCTGACTCCAGGTCTATCACTCTCTCTCCTGTGCCAACTACATGCCCCCAATTCTCTGAGACTGTTAGGTTACTCAGAGATACAGCTGCTCCTGTATATCTTTGCATTCCTAGCACTACCTTACACAAATTCGGCATTTCATAAGACGTTTGTTGAACAGAATTTCCACTTCTATTTCTTGAGTCATGCTACCCCTTTCTCCTGGGATGTTCCTGTCTCTCCCCTCTGGCTCTACACATCTTACCATGCTTCACAGTGAAACTTCAAAGGCTCAGCTCCATGATGCCTTCCCTAACTGAACCCCCCCATTTCTCTGAACACCTGCAGCACTAAGAGATGATATCACACTATTCAACATTTAATTATAGGCAAGGGGCAGTGGTGTTGCCCCTTCATTCAGTCTCCCATGTGTCAAACCATGGCTTGATTACCTTTGACCCTTCCCTTTTGGTCACCTCCCATATCCATTCAACTGCCAAGCCCTATTGATTCACAATATATGTCCTCTTTTCACTTTTTCATGGGCCTTTCAGGCCCTTGCTGGAATTACTGCAATAGTCTCCAAAAAGATCTTCTCTCTTCCTCTATGTTCCCATTCTAGGCAGGTAAGCAGTATACTGGGTAGAACACTAACTTGTTAGAAAAATCTGAGTCTGAATGTTTTCTCAGACACTAGTTAGTGGCCCTGGGCAAGGCACTTCACCTCTCTAAGCCTCAGTCTTCTCGTCTATAAAGTGGAGATAATAACAGCACCTATCTCACAGGGTTGTTGTCAGCATCAAAGGAAATAACATATATAAAATGCTCTGCAAACCTTGAAAGCATTATGTAATGCTAGCCATCATTGTTTTTATTGTTAATGAGCCCAACTCCAAGCTAGAGGAGTAGATAATATGAAAAATAAAAATTATCATTCCTGTACAAGAAACCAAATCAAAATTTTAGAGCTAATCCAACCTCTCCATTTCACAGGTGAGGAAACTGGGATGCCATGAAGTAATCAGTTGGCCTTATATTTCTACCACGTTTTATGGTTTACAAAGCACTTTACAAACTTTCACAACATCCACGTGAGACGCGTAGTACCAGCATTATCCCCATTTTACAAATTAGAAAACTGAGATAGAGAGGGAAGTGAATTGCCTTGTCCAAAGTCCCACAGTAAATAATGGTCAGGGTGGGGTTGGTCTAATTCCCTGCTTCAGTGCTGGTCCCATTAAACCGTGCTTTCTGCACTTCCATTCCCAGCATCCTTTATGCCCCACCATGCTATTGCCCTGCTTAACTTGACATTTGCTTTACTGATGTAAAAAGTAAATTTACATGGGCTTTACTTACCAAATGACAATAAAGAAAGGCACAGCAAATGCTTCTGAAGTGATGCTATGGATCAATGTTTGCAAAGCACTTGGAAAAGTGCTTACAGTCTTAGGGACCACGTCCCAGGAGATGTTATAATTTGTGAAGGGCCCACAGGCCTTGGAAGATGGAATGCTGTTGAAATAAACCAGTTGTTCAAGTCAACCAGCTGGAAAGATTAGCCCTCAAGTAAACTGTTTCATGGAAAGATTTACACAAAGAGAGGCAAAGTGAAGTAAACACAGCAGACAAAACAATACATACAATGGCTATAGTGATGTAAATGGATAGAACAACCACCACAAAACTGACTGTATCAACCCGTATTTAACTCTAGTGGCTCCCTTTCACCTCCAGGATCAAATATAAAATACTTGGGATTTTATTAATCCTTTTGGATCAAATATAAAATCCAAATATAAAATATAAAAATGTTTGTCATTCATAAAACCTGGCCCCTCCTACCTTACCAGTCTTTTACACCTTATTCCCCTCCAACAGTGTACTCTACAGTCTAGTGACATTCCTGCACCATACAACACTCTATCTCCCCACTCTGAGAATTTTCATTGGCTGTCCCCATGCCTTAGCCCCACCTCCTGACTTCCCTGGCTTCCTTCAAATTCCAACCGAAATCCAACCTTCTACAGGAAAACTTTTCCAGTTCTAGTACCTTCCCTCTTACTTATTTCCTATTTATCCTGCATACAGCCTGTTTGTGCATAGTTTTTCACATGTTGTCTCTCCCTTTATACTGTGAGCTCCTTGGAAGCAGAGACTGGGGTTTTTTTGTCCTTTTTTTGCCTTTGAATCTCCAGCACTTATCACAGTACCCAGCACATAGTAGATGCTTAATAAATGATTGTTGACTACAGTGACACAAAATAAATTGAAAATTAATGCTACAAAATTACAAAGCACCAGTTTGGCCCCAGAGAAAACCACATGAGAAGACACCTGCCCTCTAAAACTTGGCAGAGGTGGGTGAGCTATGGGTGCAGAACATTGTATATATTGTCAGATTTTTTTTCAACGTACTGATAGGCTTTGCTTTTTCTTTTTTTTTTTAATTCTTTGGAGGAGTAATGATACAAGGGGAAATAAATGTAGGCTATGTAAAAAAACAAGACTTCAATAAAAATTTCTTTTTTTTTTTTTTTGGTTAGGCAATGGGGTTAAGCGACTTGCCTAGGGTCACACAGCTAGTGAGTGTTATGTATCTGAGGCCGTATTTGAACTCAGGTCCTCCTGAATTCAGGGCCAGTACTCTATCCACTGCGCCACCTAGCTGCCCCCCGATAAAAATTTCTTTATGAAAATAAGAAGTCAACTATCAAAAGGCTGAACACTCCTTGAATCTTTATCTATTATTCTAATAAGTTTCTACAAAGGCAAAATAATACTTTAATTTAGGCAAAGAAATATCTTGGATGCCATTTTATACTTCTTTTCAAACTTCAGAAAAAAAACAAACCCCAGTATCTGTTAAAAAAAACCAACAAAGTATCTGTTCAAGAGTTATGGAAGACAAATTCATTGATTACTGTGTCATGCTGATTCCCAGTGGAATGAAGGCCAATGTCAGTCCAATTAACAGCACCAACAAGAAGAAAAAATTAGAATTTGATGCTCTGAAAGGCCTTGTGGAGGGTCTACAGGTATACATCAGGCTTATCTGTAGAAAGGAGGAAAGAAGAGGGAAAAAAAGACTTCTAATTTAGATTCCTTCTAATATCTCTGAAACAAAAACAAGGATGACTGATTTAAGAACCAAACTTTTCCTTATTTCATTCTATTTCCCCTACCCAAATGCTATTTCCTTTTAGTAAAATTCTCCCACCTCTTTCCTGCCATCATTCCTCAATTCCCTATATAGTTTTTAACTTTCAAAGAAGTATCAGTCCTTGCTTAAAGACAGAAAAAGAAAGCTCCCAATATCAGCCCTGTGGATGTGACTCTAAGGTCATAATCAAACCATCCCTCTGGTTGAAAAGTTCAAGACCCTGTTTACCTTACAAATATCATCTCAGGAAAAAGCAGTATATGGTGTAATGTCTAGAATGCTGGGCTTAGAGTTAGGAAGACCTGGGTACAAATTCTGCTTCTGATCCTCACTAGTTGTATGATCCTGAGCCAGTCAACACCTCAAGCAACTCTCTAGGATTTATCTACTAAGTCACAGGTTATGCTGTTCTGATGGTCTGTAATTGGTGGAGGGAGTTCACATATTGGAAGTGCTCTCATACTAGGGAGTTCAATTCAATTAACGTTTATTAAGTGCCTACTATATGCCAGGCACTGTGCTAAATGTGGGGATACAAAAGGAGGCAAAAGATAGTTCCTGCCCTCAAGGATCTTACAATTTAATGGAGTAAGAGGTGTAAGCATTTATTAAGCACCTACAGTGTATCTGATACTGTGCTAAATGCTTTATATTGTTTGATCCTCATAGCAATCCTGTGAGATAAATGCTATTATTATCCCCATTTTACAGTTGAGGAAACTGAGGCAAAAAGAAGTTAAATGATTTGCCCAGAGTCACACAGTTATTAACCACAATAACAACATAATAGGTCAGGATCACAGATTTGGAGCTGGAAAGGACCTCTGAGGACCTCATTGCATTTTATAATACGGTGGTTCAGAAAGTTCAAATAATTTGCCCAATGTCGCATAGGTGAAAGGTAGCTAGGAGTTAGGATTTGAACCCAATTCTTCTGATTCCCAATCCAATCCTATTCAACTACTTTCTCAGGAATCCCTTCCATAATCCTAAGAGAGAGATCAGAGTAAATATTACTCAGTTATATCTATTAAGGCTCCAAAGCAAAGAAAAGTTTATTCCTATGTCTGAGGACAGAAAATTGACATCAGATTCTAGGTATATCCTCAACATACAAATATATCTCTTTAACTGAGGCAGACATCATCTTGTCACAGTGGTGCTCATTAGCCCAGCTGATTAAGTAGCAACATGTCATAAATTGTGCTGCTCATTTTCTAGAGCTGCTGAGATACAAGGGGGGGGTCATTTGCATAATAACCCCAGGATATAACCCCTTTCCTCTTTGGAGAATGACATTCTGTGTTTTGGGTTTTTTTAAGCCTCAAAAGTCTGCCTTTATCAAGGTAAGGAGCTCCTGGTATGAAAACTCCTTCATTCATGCAGACCAGAAATTCTTGTGAAACCTGGAGTTGCCTGGAGACTATGAGGTGTTAAACTTGCCCATGCCCATACAGCTAGTATTTATCAGAGGCAAAATTTGAGCCTAAGCCTTCCTGAATCCAAGCCTGGCTCTCTCCACTACGCCACCTTGCCTCTCATCTATATATACCATGACAAGGTGCCACCTTCAAAGTACAACTCAAGGGTTACCTCCTATATCAAATCTTTCTTAAATCCTCCACTATTAGGTACCTTCTGTAACAAATTGCTCTGTATTTATATACATGCACACACATGTATATATACACACATGTACACGTGTGCATATAAACAAATATATACATATATGTGTGTATACACATATATTAAAATTCACGTTTTATTGGGAGAAATAATAGACACATCTCAGTAAACACTATGTACATTATACATATACACATGTGTGTATAATTTACTTAGATGTGTGTCTGTTGTTTCCCCCAATAAAATGCAAACTATTTGAGGGCAAGAACTTTTTGTTTTTGTCTTTCTATCATTAGCACCTAGTGCAGGGTCTGGCACCTACGAGGCCCCTTTCCCCATCACTTTTAGGCCCCTCTCATTTCTGCCATTACCTCTTTCACATAAAAGATGATAATAAACTTCACAGTTGCAATTGCAGGAAGGAGCGGGGAGAAAAAAGATCCAATCCAGCAGATTGTCTGTGCATAAACAATCCCCAGGACATTATCAGGAATGCCAAACTCCTGTTGCCCCCAGTACCGAATTAATTTCCAAGAAGAACAGTGGGTCACCAATAACCTAAAAGCAAATGTGATAATTAAGAGATGATATAGTGTCAAGAACTATGTGAAGTGATGGGGATACAAATACAAAGAAAGAAGGAAATATTTACCAAGTACCTACTATGTGCCAAGCTCTGTACTAAGTAAGTGCTTTACAAATATTATCTCATTTAATCTTCACAACAACTCTGGGAGGTAGGTGCTATTACTATCCCCATTTTACAGATGAAACCAAGACAGAAAGAAGGTAAGTGACTTGCCCAAGGTCACACAGCTATTACATGTCTCACGTGGGATTTGAACTCGGGTCTTCCTGACTCTAAGACTAAATGCTCTATTTATTTTACCACCCAGCTGCAAGCAAGCTAGTCCCTAACCTCAAGAACTTTACATTCTAATGGGAAAAGAGAATACATAAGGGACACTTGGAAAGAGGGGAGCTTTACAGTTTTAAACAAAAACTTTATATGTCATCTGATGTGATCCTCGAAACAAACCTATGAAGAAGACAGGGCAGGCATTATATCCGCCTTTCACAAATGATGGAACACTGAGGCTTACCTGAGTTAAAGTGATCTACCCAAAGTCTCAAGAGTACTAAGTGGCAGAACCAGAACCAAGAACTCTTGACTCCAAATCTAATAACCTTTCCCTTGAACTAGAGCTTGGTCCTCAGTGTAAACACAGCCAAAGAAAGAGGAATTTTCCTTGGAGAACAAATTTACAGATACTATTGATGGAACATTATGAAGGTAATTGTCTTTTTTTTTTTGATGAGGCAGTTGAGGTTAAGTGACTTGCCCTGAGTCACACAGCTGGTGAGTGTTATGTGCCTGAGCTCACATTTGAACCCAGGTCCTCCTGACTCTAGGGCTGGTGCTCTATCTTCTTCGCCACCTAGCTGCCCCCAAGGTAATTGTCTTTTTTTAAAAAATTTTTAATTAACATTAACTTTCTCTTCCTCTCACTTCTCTTCAAACCTGTTGTCTTTTTAAGCTGGCACTAAAATTTCCCAGAAGACCAAGAGAAAATGTTTCTAGTTTTACTTTTTCAAAAATACTGAGAGAAAAATGGGAAAAGAAAAAAATGTTCTTGAAGAAAGAAAATATATGCACACCATAAATACAGATCACAATCTATACACTACTTAGAAATTCTGTGCCAGAGTATACAACAGATGTTTCTGAAAAGTCATACATTAATTTTAAATCATCGGATCACATTTTAAATGCACGAGAATTTCTTACCTATTCAGAAACCTTATTTTGATGAATAATTTTTTTGTCAAATGAAAAATACTTTTATAAAAGATTTGCAAAATGACCCCTGATTTCTCTGGGTTGGTTTTTTTTTGGGGGGGCAGGAAGCTAGGTGGCACAGTGGATGGAGCACCAACTCTGGAGTCAGGAGGACCTGAATTCAAATCCGGCCTCAGACACTTACCAGCTGTGTGATTCTGGGCAAGTCGATTAACCCTGTTTGCCTTAGCTTCCTCATTTATAAAATGAGCTGGAGAAAGAAATGGCAAACCACGCTAGTATCTTCGCCAAGAAAATCCCAAATGGGGTTACAAAGAGTTAGACATGACTGAAAAAACAAGTGAACAACAACAGCGGGGCATAAAAATTTACAGAAACAAAGTTATAAATGGGATAGTAGAGATTCCAGGCTTATGAATATAGTCATTTTCAGCAAAGAGGCAAAACCATGTTTATAAGGGAAGAGATAATGTATTTTCTCACTGTTACCCACAGTTATTTGTGTTTTACTATCAAGATAAAGTGGAAAAGAAGAAGCCTACAGTACAGAGAACCTTCCTGGGTAATCCTTGGACTTTATAGCAGTCACTGCAGCAACTCCCACTCAGGTTCAAATTTCCTTCCTTGAATTAAATGGAAGTGAAGGGAAAGGGATGGATAGAGTAGAGCAGGGGAAATACTGGCCACCAGAACTTCCACACATCTTATATATATAGCTCAGGGAGTTCCTTGGTCAAATATGAATAGTTCCAACTCAAAGTCAGTGGCGCAGTAGATAGAGCTCTGGCCTTAGAGTCAGGAGGACCTGAATTCAAATGCAGCCTCAGACACTTGAAACTTACTAGCTATGTGACCCTGGGCAAGTCTCTTAACCCTGATTGCCTCACCAAAAAAAAAAAAGTCAGTGGAGAAGACCTTTCAAGGCTCTTTGTTAGATCCTCATTGAATCTCATTTGATCAGACACTAGAAATCAGTATCCTAGAGCAACATTTTATTTCTTGTATATCAACCCACATATACCTATACCTACATATACATACATACACTTTGAAAACTGAAAATTTCGTCTGGATCTTAGACAAAGCAAATTTGTGGAGTGCTGGTATACAGTAACAACAAAAACATTTATATGGCACTTAAAGGTTTACAAAGCATTTTACAAATATCTCATTTGATCCTTGCAACAATCCTGGAAGGCTGGTGCTATTATGATCCCCATTTTATAGACAGGGGTTAAGTGATTTGCCCAAGATCACACAGCTATATGCATCTAAGGCAGGGTTTGAACTCAGGTCTTTTTGACTCTAATCCCAATACTCCATCCACTGTGCCATCTAGCTGTCTGTCTCTACACACAGATACACACAACATACATCCACAAATATGTTTGTTTATACACACATTCATATCTATAACATTTTTGCACATATTTATATTTTGGTAGTTTGGTTGATCCATGATGTCATACATTTGGATTATCTCTCCATCAATCAGGATCATACCTTCTGTATGATTCTGTCCATAGGAATATATAGACCTATGAATTTATTGGTACAAAGAACTCCATCTACCAATGCAGGGCAGCAGTACCTCTGTAATTTATATTGTTAGAGAAATGTCTAGAACACTGAGAGGTTAAATGGCTTACCCAGAATCATACAACAAGGATGCGGCAGAGATAGCCCTTGAACCCAGGTATTCCTGGCTTTGAGGCCATCTCTCTATCCATTACACCACACTGCTTTTTCTCAAGCTATCCTTCACTTCCCAGCCTAGTAGGTCTCCTCACTGGTAATTTGTACTAGCTCCCTGCACTTTGATAGGTAATATTTTGCCTTATCTCATCAAATTGGCCTTCTCTGAATTTCTTGACCACACCCCTGTAAGGGAGTTGTCCCAACCTAACCCTTTATATGTTCTCTTTCCCCATTAGATTATAAATTCCTTGAAGGCAGAGATTATCTTGTCTGTTTTGATTTGTATCCCCAGCACTTAGCACAGTTCTTGGCACAAAGTAAAAGTTCTTTCTATCTATCTGGCCAAATCTTTATATAAATCCTCTAGAGTAAGGGTTCTTAACCTGGGTCCCATGAACTTGTTAAAAATATTTTAATAGATATATTTCAGTATAATTGGTTTGTTCTATAATCCTATATATTTTATTTTATGCATTTAAAAAACATTCTGTATCTCACATGAAACAGACAAGAAAAGGTTTTTAAAGTGGAGGGGAAATGGGGGAAGGTGAGAGGGAATGAATGAATCTTATTCTCATAGGATTTGGCTTAAGGAGGGAATAACATACACAATGGGGTATGGAAATCTGTCTTACCCTACAGGAAAATAAGGAGGGAAGGGGACAAGAGAGCAGGGGGTTGATAGAGGGGAGGGCAGATTGGGGGACAGGATAATCAAAAGCAAACACCTCTGAGGAGGGACAGGGTCAAAAGAGAGAATAGAATAAATAGGGGATAGTATAGGATGAAGGGAAATAAATATACTTAGCTTTTCACAACAGGACTACTATGGAAGTGTTTTGCGTGACTACACATCTATAGCCTGTATCAAGATACTTGCCTTTTCAATGAAGGTGGGTGGGGAGGGAGTAAGGAAGAAAATTTGTAACCCAAAGTTTTAAAAACATATGTTAAAAATTTAAAAAAAAAAGAAATACATAAGAAAAAAAAAGATTGATTCAAAGAAACATGGAAAAACTTGTATGAACTGATGCAGAATGAAGTGAGTCTAACCAGGAGAACCATTTATACTATAAAATCAATATTATAAAAATAAACAATTCTGAGACTCAAAAAAAACCCCCATCATTCTGAGAAGTGGTCCGCAGGCTTTACCAAGCAATCATTTGAAAGAGAGAATGTTACGAGACCTTGTTCTGGAAGATACATGCTAGAGATCATCCTCTGCCTCTTTTAATATTTTATATGGGATAAAACACACCCTTTTCACCTACTCCCAACTGAAAAAAATAAATAAAACAAAACCGTTGTAACAAATATACATAGTCAAGTAAAATAAATTCCCTCATTGGCCATGGCTAAAAACATGTGTCTCATTCTGCACCCGAAGAGTCTATCACCTACCTCTCTGTCAGGAGGTGAAAGCATGCTTCATCAGTGTGTTCACTGCATTTATGAGAGTTCTTAATTCTTTCAAAGCTGTTTCCAACAAACATGTATTAAGCACCTGCTGTTTTCAATATATGTGTGAGAAAATAGCAGGTGCTTAACATAATGAACAATCATGACTCCAGAGTATGCTGATGAAGCATGTTTTCACCTCCTGACAGAGAGGTAGGTGATGGACTCCTTAGGTGCAGAATGTGACATATTTTTAGACATGGCCAATAAAATAATTTATTTAACTTGACTAAGTATATTTGTTACAAAGGTTTAGTTTTATTTACTTTTTTCAATTGGTAGTGGGTAAGAGAGAAAATAAATGCTTATTCATTGAAAAAAATTAAATTTTAGAAAAATGTTCATTGAATGAGTAGATGAATGAAAACTATAGTATTGGATAAGAATATTACTCATACTTACTTTCTAGGAAATTCAACGAATAAAGTCACGGCAAGATTGATAATCAAATCAAAGATTGTTAGCTTATACATTTCCTGTCCAAATTGATTCTCCCAGCACTGAAACCAAAAATAAGAAAAAGGAACCCATTCTTATTTGATCACAAAATCCAGATCTCAAATCTTCTAATCTCCTACCCCATCCGCTCTCTAAACTCCCTACCTACACAGGGCTGTGATGACAATTTGCTAGGCCTTCTTGAACCTACTGTGCAGTTTTGTTGGGTGCTGCTCCACTATTTATTCCTTCTGGGCACATACATACTCGCCTCTATCTATGAAACCAATTCTGGTCTTGGGTAGCCAGGATACAAAGAACCCATGGACCACAAAGGTTTTGGCTCAGCAACCAGTTTCATTCTCTTCTGCTGGTACCCAGTGCCTGGACGCTGAGCCCCTGGTCACCAAGATCCTGTGCCTGGTACTTTGACTCCACCATCTCCTACCCAGGGTTTCTTACTCCATGCTCCCAAACCTTTCCAGACTCTGGACTTGCTTCAGACACTTAATGTATACAACCGTGAACAATTCAATTGACCTTCCGTAGTTTCATCTTCTTGTTACTCTTTTATAAAATGAGTATGATAATATACGGTGCCATTTATCTGAGTGCTAGAAAGGGGAAAGATGAAGGTATTGTGGTTCTCCAACCACAGGGGTATTGAGAAAGCTGGGAAGTATTACAGGGGCCATCTTAGCAGAATAAGATGAAAGGTCAGAGTCAGGAGTAGATTCTGAGTTTCCAGTGAGAAGATTGATTGGGCTGGGAAGTGAGGGGTAGAATGAGAAGGGGTGTGCTATAATAGATAATTAATTTTATCCCTAATCCGTGAAGTTTTACTGTACTGTTAAAGAGATATTATGGTATGATGGATATAAAACTAGACTCAAAGCCAGGAAGTCTTGGGTTCAAGTCCTTCCTCTGACACACACTGGTTATGTGATCCTAGACAAGTCACTTAACCTCTTAGTACTCTTCTAAGCCAATTGTCTAAGGCTATAAGTTGCAAAGAAGGTGAGGAAAGCACTCAATAAGCCTCAAAGTGATACATAGATGTGAGTTATTATTAGCTGACTAGATCTACGTTACTATCTCTTCTGTGCCTATACCCATAGCTCTCTACCTACTCCTCCGGAATTGATTGGTCTGGTTGTGGCCATTGATTTGCCTAACTTAGGGTACCTGCCAGCCCTTCTCTTCTCTATCTGAGCACCAAAGTCCTGTCCAACTTTGTCCTGTGGCCTCCTAAGTCCTAATAGGACAAATCACCTAATGAAGACTCTGTAGTTTGTTTAGGGCCAACAGTTCTGGGAGAGTTGTTCTAAATCCCAACCTCTTTCACTTCCAATCTCGTTAGTTAATGAGACTAAGTGAACTCCTAAGCACTGGAAACTAGCATGTGGATAGGACACAATAAAGGACTGAGTAGAAATGTCTTCCTGAGTCAGTTACATTTCCGTGGAAGACAACCCATCGAGTCATAAATTAAGGCTGAGAAATCCTATAAATCATCAAGTGACTCATTACATTATTCCAAACTTTCGTATCTCAGAAGCAATGAGGAATTCTTCCAGGATGGGAGCCATGACTCAATCTGCCCCAAGACAGATGCATTAAAAGCTACTGTCAAAAAAAAAAAAAAAGAGCTACCGTCAAGCAGAAAGTCTACGTAGAGAAAACTTGAAATCAGTGGTGGTTTTAATGCTTTTAAATAGTGGAAACTTCAACACAGATCTCTCTTGACCCAAGGGCCTGGGGAAATTAATGGAAGCTACTTCTGCTGTGTTCCCACTGTTTCAATGGGGCTGAAAGTTAGGCTTGGACTCCAGCTTTTAGGTAGTAGGGATGGGAAGAGGAGGAGACAGCTGGATTTCTGTGGGTATGGTTCCTACAAACCTAAAAGTAAACCTATCCCTGCTTGAGGTGATCATACTTAAAGCATCTCTTTTCTATTTATCCCCTTATTCATAAAATCATCATTGTGGAATCTATAGTTTAGCCACTATGGAATCTAGACTCAAAATGGATTTTATATGGCCCCTGTACAGGGTTGGTGAACAACTGATATGGTTCAAAAACATTTCAGTAGCCAGCTAGACTTACTGGATAGAGTTTGTGGTTATAGCCACAGACTCGACAATCCTCATTGTCACAGAAGGTTATCTTGGACCCCAGGGTAAACACCAGTGCACAAATGGTGGCCAATCTCATGAAGACACACCTGTGTAGGAAAAGGAGGGAAAAGGGAGGTGGAGAGACAGTCAATCAAGCTGCTTTGCCCACACAATCTGTTGGTATTTATGGCTAAAGATGTGAAGGACAAAAAAAAAATAGGGGGGCAGCTAGGTGGTACAGTGAATAGAGCTCTGGCCTTGGAGTCAGGAGGACCTGAGTTCAAATCCAGCCTCAGACACCTAACACTTACTAGCTGTGTGACCTTGGGCAAGTCACTTAAACCCCACTGCCTCACCAAAAAGCAAAAAAAAGGGAAAAATATACTTTCCCCCAATAACTTTGTTGTTTTTCCCACAAAAATTAGGAAAAATATCATCCTTACCCCTGCCCCAATATTCCCATTTTAAAGGGGCTTTATCTCTAAATATGCCAAACATCATGATTCATGGAAAAAATAATATATATATAGACAGATATAGATATATTGATATATATGTGTGTATATAGATGTGTATATAAATTATATATGAAACATATACATGCATGTAGGTGCATATGTAACTTGTTTGCTAATATATTGAAATATATATATTTGTATGTATGCCTATGCACATAATTAACAAAGCAACTCTTTTGGTCTCCTAAAAGGGAGAGAGAGAGAGAGAGAGAGAGAGAGAGAGAGAGAGAGAGAGAGAGAGAGGAAGAGAAAGCCTGTAATTTGAATTTAAAATTTTTTTTCTGGCTATTTCCATGAGGAAAATGTCACCTCTAGCACACCCAAAGGACAAAGACTATGAGAAAGGAAGAAAAGTCATTGGATTTGGTGATTAGGGAGATCATTGGTGCCCTTTGAGCAACAATTTCAGTAGAGTGCTAGGAGTGAGGACCAGATTGCAAGTGTCTGAAGTTAAAGAGAATAGACAACTTTTTCAAGAAGCTTAGCTGTCAAGGAGGTGAAAGAAAGGAAATCATCAAGGGAAGAGAGAGGAATAGTAGCTACATGAGAGCTAAGCAGGCTCGAAGAAATACTCCATCCTAGATCATCCACTAAGTATAGGGTACATTGCCTCCTCTCTTAGAATTCCTAGCTTCCGTAAAGGCTCAGTTCAGGTAGTACCTCCTCTTTAAAATTTTCCATAATCTTCTTCAATTATCAGTGGTAAAAAAAAAAAATTATCTTGTACCCATTTAACTGTCTACATGCTATATTCTACCACCCTTACTCCCACTCCCAAATATAAGCCCTCTGAGGACAGGGATCATTTCTTTTTTTTATCTTTTCATTACCAACATCTAGCTCAGGCCTACACAACCTGCAGCCTATGGGCCACTTAAAGCCAGCCAAAGGAATTTGGACAGCCTACCAAAAACGTAGAGGAAATGCAGAGGAAATCCTTTGGCAGCTAGGAGCAGCCCACTGTCATAAATAAGTGGTGCAGGCTGGTATAGCTCATTGTCTCACAAACAGCAGGTGCTTAATAAGTATTTGTTGAAATTAATTGTATGTTAATGCTTTGACCTGTGCCTCTAAGAAGTCTTGCCCCAGATGTGCTGTTGGTAGACCATCTTCTTGGCCTCTAGAAGGGAAGGTGGGGGTGCTAATCTCTTCCTTTTCTTCTCCCTCCTGTCTCCGCTAAACATGACACTTAGAACCCTACCCTGGTAACTCTCCCTGATAAGAACCTTGAAGCTAGAAGCAGCAAACAAAAATAGAAAGAAAAAGGAGGCAAGTGATCCCATAAATTATAAACTGCTTAAGAGCAAAAACTGGGTCTTAATTATCTTTTTGTCCACCTCTGTAAGCTCTTTCTGTTCCAGCTCCAACCAATCATCACATAGTATAGCAGGCTACATATGGTAGATGCTCAACAAATAATCTTCGACTTAAATGGATAATAAGAGTAATTTAAGTAGCACTTTAAGGTTGGCAAAGAACTTTACAATGTTGAAACATTGACTTGACTGAACTGAGTTATCATTTACCTGAGGAGAGTCAACCTGATCTCAAAGGCTGGTGAATAGTCTTCATAGCGAATGATCTTGGAGAAGATAATGGGAGTGATGAAATTGGCCAATGTAATTACAATGGAGGGAAGATAGAGGATCAGAAGGTTCTCTCCAAATACCATTTTGTTAATCTCCTAGGAAGGCAAAAGATTCCAACTCTGTCAAGATCAATGACTGACTGCAAAGCAGTGTGGTCACAGAACTAAAGGAAGGCTAAGCTGGATAATTTTAAATAACATTTAGTTCAATCTCCTAACTTCATAGGTGAGGAAACTGAGTTCCAGGGTGGTGTCCCAAGGTATCCCACCTAGCCAATTACTGGCAGAACCCATGTAGTCTTGCCTTCTAATTGACTGCTCTATAACATGTGAAACTGCCTTTTGTGAATCCCTAGTTGATAGGAACATCCTCTAGAAATTCCCTGGACCCATATTTCCATATCACAAGTATCATCTGACCAGTAAGAATTCTGAGACCTCTCCTACTTTCCATTCATTTTTACAAAGGCTCTGTTTGCCTGATGTACTCTTTGGAAAGTTACATAACCAGTTGTTCACTTTAATTTATATAATCTTGGGGGCTGCTGGGGGTGCAGTGGATAGAACACCAGCTCTGGATTCAGGAGGACCTGAGTTCAAATCCGGCCTCAGACACATAACACTTACTGGGTGTGTGACCCTGGGCAAGTCACTTAACCCCATTGCCTAGCCAAAAAAAAAATTATATAATCTCATTCTCTGCTTTATTCCACTCCGGGATGCACTCCAGATACCTACAATGCCCCAGGTTCTTCATCCTGAAGTCTCACTCCAGCCCTGGAATTCACACATTGGAAGTATCCTTACCCTATGATTTGGGATGGCTCCTCCTAAAACCTCTATTTAAGGAGAAGGACCCTGACCATCTTCTCTAGGCTACACTCTGGACTTGATGTTCTTTTTTTTCTCCTTCCCCTTATTTGCCCTCTCCTTTTCAGCTTCCTTTTACGTGTGGTCTATACCCATTAGAATTTAAAGCCTCTAAGGGCAGGGACTGAATTTTTTTTCCTGGCTGTATTAGTATTCTACGAGTTTAGCAAAGTGTCTGGCACATAGTAAGGGCTTAATAAATGCTTGTTGACTGATTAATCATTAGTGTCACAGACTTTAAATGACCAGCATAGGGAATCATAAGCGGGGAGAAAATTCAGGTATTCTGGTCCCTAACTCTGGACCTAAATAAAGCGCATGTTCTATTTTGTGAATTCTTTTAATTATGCCTTAAATTTTTTGGGGAAAAAAGTGAATTACCTTTTTCATATGTTCTTGGGAGAATATAGTTGCTTCATAGATTGCATAAAAGCACGCTGCCAGGACAGTTATAACTATAGCATTCAAAAGCATTCTGAGACTGTAAATCCGTAAGGTTTCTTCAGGAGTTCTCTGTGCTACTTTTTGCCTTATTCTTTCTTCCACCAAGTCTGTCTAAGGAACAAAAAGAGACAAATTCATTCTTAAGAGTACTGGATTTGAACATGGACTTCCAGGACCCACGATGGCAGAGTAAGAAGTCGCTCTCAGTGTCCCTTATTGAACTCTAAAAACTCAGAAAATATCACCCCAGGAAAAACCCTGGAACAGCTGAACCAGCAGAAAGATGGGATGCAGCAGTCTTGTAGCCTGGGAAGTTTATGGGACTGACAGGAAAGGTCCCTCTCACTCTGGTGGAAGGAGAGCAGTACAAAACAGCAAGCCAACAGCAAGGCCCACCTCAGCAAACCAGAGCGATATCCTGAGCCCCAGGGTGGTAGAGCAGGCAAGCACCAAAACCAGGACCCCCGAGTGCCTTGTCACAGGCAGTGGAGCCAGTAGACTCCAGTTCAAAAACCACCACATGTGCCAGTAGGCAGGTGTCCTCTGGCAGCCAAACTTCCCTGTGCTTCAGCACAACTCTAGGAAACACAACTCCAGAGAGGCAGGCACTCTCCAGCAACCAAATTATCCAGTGCTTCTTTTTTTAAAAATTTTAATTAATTAATTAATTTTTGTTTTCAACATTCACTTCCACAGGATTTTGAGGTCCAAATTTTCTCCCCACCTTTCTCCTCCCCACACCCCATGATGGCATGGATTCTGATTACCCCTTCCTCCAAACTGACCTCCCTTCTAACATCTCCTCTCCTTCTTATTCCCTTCCCCTTCTATTGTCCTGTAGGGTAAAATAGATTTCAACACTCCATTGCCTGTATATCTTATTTCCCATTTGCATGTAAAAACAATTTTGGAAACATTTGTTTTTAAAACTTTGAGTTCCAATTTCTCTCCCTTCCTCCCTCTCTACTCACCCTCATTGAGAAGGCAGGCAATTTGATATAGGTAATACACGTGTAGTCATGCAAAACACTTCCATAATAGTCATGTTACGAAACACTATATTGCCCACCATCCTAACCCACTTCACCCCCATTTATTCTGTTCTCTCCTTTGAATACTGTTCCTCCTCAAAAGTGTTTGCTTCTGATTACCACCCCCTCAATCTGCCCTCCCTTCTATAACCTTCCCCCCTTGTCCCCTTTCCCCTACTTTCCTGTAGGGTAAGATAGATTTCCATACCCAATTGAGTGTGTATGTTATTCCCTCCTTAAGCCAAATCTGATGAGAGTAAGGTTCACTCATTCCCCCTCACCTCCCTCCTCTTCCCCTCCACTGTACTTCTCCCAGTACATTCCTCTCTCACCCTTTAATTTTATTTTTTAGGTATCATCCTTTTCTATTCAATTATATATACATATATATATATATATATATATGTATATATATATATATGTATGTATGTATGAGAAAGATCTCAAGTTATAAATATCATCTTTCAGTTTAACTTAAATAAGTCCCTTATGATTTCTCTTTCCTGTTTACCTTTTCATGCTTCTCTTGAGTCTTATATTTGAAAGTCAAATTTTCTATTCAGCTCTGGTCCTTTCATCAAGAATGCTTGAAAGTCCTCTATTTCACTGAATATCCATTTTCCCCCCTGAAGGATTATACTTAGTTTTGCTGGGCAGATGATTCTTGGTTGTAATCCTAGCTCCTTTGCCCAACAAAATATCATATTACAAGCCTTCCAATCCTTTAATGTAGAAGAAGCAGCTAAATCTTGGGTTATCCCGATTGTGGCTCTGCAATACTTGAACTGTTTCTTTCTGGCTGCTTGCAACATTTTCTCCTTGACCTGGGAAATATGAAATTTGGCTATAATATTCCTAGGAGTTTTCCTTTTGGGATCTCTCTCAGGAAGTAGTCAGCAAATTCTTCCAATTTCTATTTTACCCTCTGGTTCTGGAATATCAGAGCAGTTTTCCTTGATAATTTCTTGAAAGATGATGTCTGGGCTCTTTTTCTGGTTATGGCTTTCAGGCAGTCCAATAATTTTTAAATTCTCTCTCCTAGATCTACTTTCCAGGTCAGTTGTTTTTCCAGTGACATATTTCATATTGTCTTCCATTTTTTCATTCTTTTGGTTTTGTTTTATAATTTCTTGATTTCTCATAGAGTTATTTGCTTCCACTTGCTCCATTCTAATTTTTAAAGAATTATTTTTTTCAGTGAGCTTTGGGATCTTCTTTCCAATTTGGCCACTTCTACTTTTTAAGGCATTCTTCTCCTCATTGAATTTTTGGATCTCTTTTGACATTTGTTCTAGTCTATTTTTTAAGGTGTTATTTTCTTCAGTAATTTTTGGGTTCTCCTTTAGCAAGCTGTTGGCTTGTTTTTCATGATTTTCTTGCATTACTCTCATTTCTCTTCCCAATTTTTTCTTTGCTTCTTGTACTTGATTTTCAAAATCCATTTTGAGCTCTTCCATGGCCTGAGACCAATTCGTATTTTTCTTGGAGGCTTTGGATGTAGGAACTTTGACTTGAGTGTATGTTTTGATCTTCCTTGTCACACAAGTAAGATTCTATAGTCCGAGTTTTTTTCTGCTGTTTGCTCATTTTCCTAGATAATGAGTTGACTTCTTTGCTTTTTTTGGTGAGGCAATAGGGGTTAAGTGACTTGCCCAGGGTCACACAGCTAGTAAGTGTCAAGTGTCTGAGGCTGGATTACTCTGCCATCTTGGCTCCACCCCTCCCCCCACCCCCCCAGTGCTTCAGAGCATTCTGGGTGAGCAGACATTGTCCAGGAGCCAGAACCACCTCCCCATACCCCCGCCAAGAGCTTCAGTGTTGCTGACCTCAGCTCAGCACCAGGTAAACTACCAGACCCCTACATCCTCTGGCTGCCAGCACCTGAGACCCCAGCACACAAAGCCAGTGACCAGGTCTTTGGCCCCCAGCACAAGAAGCTTGGGTCATTGTCCCCTATGCTCCAGCAGGAGAGCTCAACTTTAAAAAGCAAGACAATAGGCAAACACCATGAGGAAAAAGCAGAAATAGACATTGACCACAGATTCTTACTATGGAGACAGATTCAGAAGAGGATACATTGTCAATATACCCACATCCAAAACCTGAAAGGGGAATATGAATTGGTCTCAAGGCCAAAAAGCCTTCTTGGAAGATCTTAAGAAGGATTTTAAAAGTCAAGTAAGAGAGGTAGAAGAAAAATTGGGGACAGAAATGAGAGGTATGTAAGAGAAGGCCAATAGCTTGGAAAAGGAAGGACAAAAATTGACTATAGAAAACAAGTCCTCAAAAATACAATTGGACAAATGGGGGAAAAAAATACACTGAAGAAAAAACTTCTTAAAAACTAGAATTGGCCAAGTGGAAAAGGAGACACAAAAATTCACTGAAAAGAACTCCTTAAAAAGTAAAATGGGCCAAATAGAAAAGGAGGTACAAAATCTTTCATCTTTCAAGAAATCATCAAGGAAAACTGCCCTGAGGTCCTAGAACCAGAGGGTAAAACAGAAATTGAAAGAATCCACTGATCACCTCCTATAAGAGATCCCAAATTGAAAATAACAAGAAACATTGTAGCCAAATTCCAAAATTACGATGTTAAAGAGAAAATACTACAAGGAGCCAGAAAGAAACATATACTGGAACCACAGTCAGGATTATACTGGACCTTGCAGCTTCTACATTAAAAGATTGGAGAGCTTGGAATATGATATTCTATAAGGCAAAGAAGCTTGGATTACAACCAAGGATCAAATCAAATACCCAACAAAATTGATCAGAATTTTTCAGGGGAGGAGATAGACATTCAACAAAATAGGGGGCTTCCAAACCTTCCAGATGAAAAGACCAGAGCTCAACAGAAAATCTGATGTTCGAATACAAGACTCAAGAGAGGCATAAAGGGGCAGCTAGGTGGCTCAGTGGATAGAGCACCAGCCCTGAAGTCAGGAGGATTTGAGTTCAAATCCAGCCTCAGACCAAACACTTGACACTTACTAGCTGTGTGACCCTGGGCAAGTCACTTAACCCCAATTGCCTTAAAAAAAACCCCAAAGCCACTGCAACCAAGATTAGAATGAAAGTAGAAAACTGGTAAAGAATTTTTACAATCAGTCTCTCTGATAAGGGCCTCATTTCTAAAATATATAGAGAATTAAGACAAATTTATAAGAATACAAGGATATGAACAGACAGTTCTCAGATGAAGAAATTAAAGCCATCTATGGTCATATAAAAAAATACTCTAAATCATTATTGATTAGAGAAATGCAAATCAAAACAACTCTGAGGTACCACATCACACCTATCAGATTGGCCAACATGACAAAACAGGAAAATGATAAATGTTGGAGAAGATGAGGGAAAATTGGAACACTAATGCATTGCTGGTGGAGTTGTGAAATGATCTAACTATTTCAGAGAACAATTTGGAACTATGCCCAAAGGTCTATAAAAATGTGCATACCCTTTGATCCAGCAATAGCACTTCTAGGGCTGTATCCCAAAGAGATCATACAAATGGGAAAAGGATCCACATGTACAAAAATATTCATAGCAGCTCTTTTTGTGGTGGCTAAGAATTGGAAATTGAGAGGATGCCCATCAATTGGGGAATGGCTGAGCAAGCTGTGGTATATGAATGTAATGGAATACTATTGTGCTATAAGAAATGATGAACAGGCTGACTTCAGAAAAACCTGGAAAGACTTGTATGGTCTGATGCTGAGTGAAGTGAGCAGAACCAAGGGAACATTGTACACAATAACAGCCACATTGTGTGATGACTAATACTGATAAACTTAACCCTTCTCAGCATAACAAGGATCTATGACATCTCCAGAGGCCTCGTGATGGAAAATGCCATCCACATCCAAAGAAAGACCTATGGAAGATGAATTGGTATCAATTTTTTTTCTCTTCTGTTGAGTTTTGTTTCCTCTTTCTGATGATTCCTCCTATTGGTTTTAATTTTTACTTACAACTTCACTAATGTGAAAATATGTTTAATAGGAATGTAAATGTATATCCTATATGAGATCGTGTGCTGTCTTGGGGAAGGTGGTGGGGAGGAAGGGGGAGAAAAATTTTAAACTCAAAAGCATATGGAAGTGATTGTTGATAAATCAAAATAAATTAATTTTAAAAAAAAAGAACAACTAAATGACTCAGCAACCCTATGAGTCCTAGCTCACTCTCATGGCCTCCTCAGTCAAAGCTGAACCTTATATTTATTCCAAAATCATCAGGATCAATGTGTTAACAAAACCTTAATTCATGAGTTATTGTTCTTATCTTACACAGGTCAGTGCCTGCACTGAGTGACTAGATATGTATTTATGTAGCTCTGATTATGCATATACTATTTTTATTATTGTTTGTGTTAGACACAATTTTTCTGTAGTTTGCCTCCTTTATTAGATTATGAGTTTTTCAAGGTCTCAGACCTGGTATCTTCTTTCTTTGTAGCTTTCCTATTCATGAAGTCAAGTACTCTCTACTCAACACACAATCAGCATTATTCTTTGATTATCTAAAGTTTGGGGGGTAGGGGGAAGGCTATAAAAGTGCTGGACTGTGGGAGAAGATTTGTTAGACAGTCTCCAGTTAATATCCTAGTTAAATATTTCTAAATGCCTACATGATGAGGAGGGAAGATAGAGAAGACAAGGATAACTCATAGGTGGATTTTCAACTAAGAGAAGAGAGCATACAACCAATGAAGGTGCATGGGAAATGCAAGAGTTGAGATGCAATCATCAGGAAACTTTTTGGCTCTGAGTGCCAGTAATGAGACTATACAATACCCAACAGACTTAATTACATGGATGAAGAGGAGAAAAGAAAGGGTCAAGAAGGAGAAAGGGGGGACATAAAGAGCAAGGAGTGGCATAGAGAAGGCCACCAATGATGGACTAAGATTATACTGTTGGCTTCTGACCACAGGCTACCTACCTTTGAATTAAATTTTCCTGGACCACTAATAGTATAATAATTATTCCCCAAGAAGCCTCTAGAGAATGTAAAAGTTCAAGGAGGAGGTTCCCCTTCTAAGTTCTCTCCCAGGAGAAATTCTGAATTCTGTGGATAAGTTCACTTACCTTGACAGTATACTTTTCATGGCTGTACACATAGATGATGAGGTTGATGCACACGTTACCAGATCTACCTCAGTGTTTGGGAGACTCCAAAGGAAAAGTGTGGAAGAAATGAGGTATTATACTGACTACCAAACTGAAAGACTACAGAGCCATTGTGCTGACCTCAATGTTGCATATCTGTGAAACCTGACAGCAAACCAGCGCCATGCCAGGAAACTGAATCGCTTCCATTTGAATTGTCTTAGGAAGATTTTGAAGATCACCTGGCAGTACAAGGTACTGAACACTGAGGTCCTTTCTTGAGCTGAACTACCAAACAGTCCAAACTGTCAAACTCTACTATGGAGAGCACAGTTCAGATGGGCTGGTCATACTGCTAGAATGCCAAACATACATTTACCTAAAAAATTATTTTATGAACAACTCACACAAGGCAAGCACTTATACAGGGGTCAGAAGAAGCAATACAAGGACACTCAACATCTCTCTGAAGAACTCTGGATTGTGGGAGACAATGGCACAGGACTACCCAGTGTGGAGTGCCCACATCAAATAAGGTACTATGCTCTTCAAGCAAAGCAGAATTTTGTTAGCTCAAAAGAAACGTGAGATGTGCAGACCTAGACATTTCCACTTCAAATGTTCATGTGGACTATCTGTGCCGGACCCGTGGTAGAGCCTTCAGAGCTTATGTTGGTCTCATTAGCCACAGCTGGACACACTATACCTTGACCCCAACATAGTCATGTAATGTTGGCCCTCTTAGAGCAAGAAGGACAACCACCACCCAATCTTCCCCTGCATGTATGTCTGGGGTGTTTCTTTGGGCAGCAGGCTAGAAAAGAGACCCAGAATTTACATTTACAAAACAGAGTCTATCTAGAATTCCATGTTTTTAACTTAGTGTGTGTGTCATTCAATCCCTTTGATAGTCTGGTGAAGCCTACGGACCCCTTCTGAGAAAATTTTTTTAAAAAATCTTAATTGAAGGAAATGCTGAATTTCAGCTAGAGATTAGTGAAAATAAAAATTAAGTTTTCTTTCCCATACAAGTTTATGGAGCCCCTCTGAAATCTTAACCATAAGTTAAGACCTCCCAATCTAGAATGAAAATTGCCACAATCCCATTTTGGAACTTAAAAGACTATTCCAAAAGAGCATCTCTCCCTTCCATTTACAATCTGTCTTTCTTCCTCCTTCCAGGCTGGCTTCTCATGTCACGCTTTGTGCTTCTTGCTTCACATTTTCTTCACAGTATATAGGAAACAGGAGGCTCATAGCAGAGAGGGGAGTGTCTAAGAATTTGAGTATAGTCACGCTGTGGGCATACCAGCCTCTCCTCCAACACACACCTGTGAACATTTTTATCCTGGTGAAATCACATTAAAATATCAGCAAGAGCAGTTTTGAAGAGAAAAAGAAAGGAAAGGGGAGGAGAGAAAAGAAAGGGGGAAAGGAAGGGGCTAAGAGGAAGAAGAAAGGAATTGTTGCTTAGGCAGCTATATTAGTCATGCCTGCATTGCTTTACTACCAGGTAGGGACTATGAGCAGATTGTGCTTAAGCCTCTTAGGGGTTGGTTGTTTTGTCGTGGTTTTATTTTTTTTTGCAGGAGGAGGGGTGTTTAGTGTGGCTACCATCACCTCCTTTTCCTGTTTATCTCCAGACAATGGGTCCCTTTCGGGGCCAGTGCTCTGAATTGTTGTATCTCAGGGATAATCCACAGAAAATGATCTGTGAAAGAGTTAAAAAGAGTTCCACCAGCCCTTGTCCCCTCCCCCCAAAAGCTAAAGCTGGTTTAACCTTTCAAGAATCCACAATGATAGTCAAAATCGACAAGACTCACTTTAAGCTCATACAGTATACTGCTGTGCTTGAGCTTGGCAGTTGACTCGTCTGTGATACAGAAGTCCCAGCCAGCAAAGATTTTGTTACAGTAGCTCTGATACTGTTCTTCACTTCGCACCAAGTTTTGCTTGAATCCTTCCACAGACCTGTTAAAAAAAAAAAGATGAATATGTAGTCTGCCATAAAGGACCTAACTGATGGTTGTCTTAGTCCCCCATCATGTCTATGCTCCCAGGCATGCTTAATTCTACTTCCTGGCCCTTCTCTTGCCGGCCCCTAAGCTGCTGCACTCATGCCCTCTAACCCTCCCGCATCCCTTTCCAACTTTGGAATCATAATTAAATCACCTCAGAATATGAGCTCTGGAGTTAGAGGATCTAGGTTCAAATCCTACCTCTGACATTTAGTACTTTTGTGACCTCCAGCAATTCACTTAACCTTCCTGGGCCTCAGTTTCCTCACCTGTTAAAAAAAAAAGGAGGTTGGACTAGATGGCCTCTGAGATCCCTTTCAGCTCTAGATTTGTGTTCCTATGAATTGTCATTGCTCCAGGAAAGGGTTTAACAATCTATTCTCTTAAGGCTCCACTCACTATCCTCATAACTTTCCAAATCAAAATATCCCACCTTAGTCATCACTCTCCTATATGTGTTGTCTTCCCTTATTAGAATGCAAGCTCTTTGAAGACAAGGACTTGGTTTTTTGTGTTTGTATCCCCAGTGTTTAGCACCACGTCAGGCATACAGCGCTAAATAAATATTTTCCTTCCCTCCTTCCTTCCTTTCCTTTCTTCCTTCCATTCAATAGAAAGAGCTTGTTGTTCAGTCATTTTCAGTCCTGTCTGACTCTTCGTGACCCCATTTGGGGTTTTCTTGGCAAAGACACTGGAGTGGTCTACCATTTCCTTCTCCAGCTCATTCTACAAACAAGGAACTGAAGCAAACAAGGTGAGGTGACTTGCCCAGGGTCACACAGCTAGTAAGTGGCTAATACCACACTGGAACTCAGGTCTTTATGACTCCAGGTCTAGTACTCTATCCACTTCACCACCTAACTGCCCCAGAAATAGAGCACTTTCTATTATCTCCATGGAAAAATTGCAAAATTGTTGCCCTTTTAAAAGCTAAAATTTCTTGCGTTTTCTGAAACTATTCAACGACCTATTTGATCCAATTTAACAAAACTTATTCAGACTCAACTAGACACTGTGTTTGACACTGAGAATGCCAAGATGAAAAATGACACAGTCCCTTGAGCCCAAGGAACTTTTATAATATATTGGGGGTGGAGAAAAAAGTGGAACAGGAAATGAACGCAAATAAATATGCAACAAGGTAGAATGTGATAGGAAGGCAAATAAAATATTCAGACAGAATATGCTAGGAAAATTTGAGGAGAGATTCCATGCTTTGATTCATGTGATTCATGGAAGAGGAAGCTCCTGAGTTGAGGCTTGAAGGAAGAGGAGGATTTTAAAATGGTGGAGATGAAGAGGAAGAGAGAGTACATTCCACATTTGAAAGATCACAGGATTTCAAGATGGAAGGGACCTTGGAGGCTATATCTAGTTCAAACTGTGCCTGAATATGAAAAATTCTCTACAATATATCAGACAAATAGTCACTCAGTTTCTACTGGGATGATGAATATGGAGGGGCACCATGGTATAGTGGAAAATGAACCAGCTTTGAATACAAGCTCTGCCAATGACCCATACTGGCTATGTGACCTTTGGAAAGTCATGTAACCTCTCAATAACCTGTGCAACTATCTAAAACTATAAATTGCAAAGATGTGGACCTACGTTGGAAGAGGGAATTCTCTCATCTGGGAGTTCCCTATGCCAATGAAATCAAAGGACCAGATACTATCCCTATGTGAATGGGAATATCAGTGCAAGCCAAATGCACTGAATGCCCCATTTACATCAGTGGAAATGTCTTTCTCCTTTCATGTTCCAGAGTCATTATAACCTTCAGGGTCACAATGCAAAAAAAATAAAGCAAAACAAAACAAAATGCTAAAATTCAATTATATATGAGGGTTCTTAACTTGGAGTCTATGAACTTTTTGTTTTAAAAACTGCATTTCAATATAATTGGTTTCCTTTGTAATATTATTTACTTTATGTATTTGAAAACTTTCTTCTGAGAAGAAATCCACAGGTTTTACCACATTGCCAAAAGTATCCATGATACAATAAAGGTTAAGAACCCTCAACATATATATAGATCAATAGAAAGCTTATGCAATTAACTGGGGACATTAAGAAATATCAAAGAATTTTAGAATGATAACACATCTTTGAGATCATCTAATCCAACCCTCTCAATTGTTGCTTGCTCATCAACTCCACCTTTACAAATGATGCCCAGGAAGGAAAAGTGTTGTTCTGCACAGATGCCCAGATTTCTTTGACAGGATCACCCACCTTGGGTTAATGGAACCTCTTGCCTGTGATCTTGGCTTCAAAATGCAGCAGTCTTGAGAAATAAAGAAACAATAATGTAGTAGAATTTACCTTTTCACTATCCAGAGAAGACTCAATGCCAAATAAGCCACTGTGCTCAGCAAATAGGCGAGGGGCAAATCATATGTGAAGTTTTTGAATTTTACCCCATCTACAGTATAATGGCCATAAAACAGGCTGGTCCATTCCAAGAAACCCTGAATAAAATAGGGCAAAGGGCACAGTGTGAGATTATCTCCCTAAAGGGTTAAAAGGGTCAGTAACCAGAGCTATTCTGATCTAGAAAAGTTCTTCCTACTAAGCCTTGCCAAAGGACTCCAGTTCAGTCTTGGGGAGAGAACTCATTTTTCCATTTCTGTGTACATTAGCCAGAAAGGCAGTGCAGTAGAAAGAGAACCAATCTAGGAGAAAGCAGACTTAAGCTCTAGCCTCATCCTGCTATTAGCTAGCTTTGTGACCTTGAGCACTTCAGACCTCTGGACTTGTTCTTTCCTTAGTCAAATGAGGGAGTCAGACCAGATGATGTCTAAGGTCCCTTATGACTTTAAGAGGTTTACTGCTTTGAGGTCAGTCAGTCAGTCAACAAGCATTTATTAAACACTGACTATGTGCTGAGCATTATGCTAAGTTCTGGGAATATAAAGAAAGTCAAAACTCTTTTCCCAGACTGTTTACTTAATCTGAAGAACAGAATCATCATAGTAACAACAATATTATCAATAAAAATAATAATAGTAGCATTTGTATAGCACTTTAAGATTTGCAAAGCACTTTACAAATATCTCATTTGATCCTCACAACCACCCTGGGAGTGCTATTAAAGTCTAAGAAAATCTCAATAACAAATGATAGGATACTTATTTATTCTTCTAATTCTACCTTCTTTTTCAACTCAGGGAAAGGAGATGGGCAACCAGTGAGAATCTGATATCTGCTTCTCTCTTCTCACCTGGGAAGGATAGCTCATAGTTTGCAGTTCTACATTTTGATATTTCTCTAAGCTGTAAGCTTGAAGTTTGTTCAAGAGGAAAGAAACCTGGAGGGTGGGGATGCTGCTTTGGTTTGTTTAGAAGATGAAAAGATGGATTAGTTGCTGTACTTGGATTTAAGCAAGGGAAAGCAATGGAACTTAATGTTGGCCAATCAATGAGAGGGCAAAGTGATTTGGGGTTAAGGCTGGTCTTTATGAAAGAAAGAAAAAAAGTTTCAGAGATTATAATTTACATTCCCTTTGGGTAGGGCACCTGCAGGTAAGGGTGTGATGTCCTATGTGGACAGAGGGCAGGGAGAGGGGGAAAGGGAGAAGGAGAGAGAGAGAGAATACTTACAGTGCCTGAAAGCAAATCTATCATATAAGTATAGAAGTAAATGAGTCCAGTACTATTCATTGGGTATACTTTGCATCGCATATCTGTTTAAAAAAAAAAAAAGCAAAAATTATTTCTTAAGGGAGAAGTGAATGAATAAAAGGCTAGGTGAAAAGCATCTATCCTATTTTCAAAGATAGGCCTAGCTTATGATTCTATTCTGATGGTACATTTCTTGTCCTACTGCATGAGATGGTGTTTTCTTAGGCACATGAACACCCCAGAAAACAAGGTATGGGTTTGGGAATTATCAAATTATCTGTTAAATGACTCACCTACTTCATTAGAAGGGACAATCAGGAAGGTGCTGTCAGTAATCTTGTACTTGGTAAGGATGATTGGGAGCAAAATAAACAAAAAAATGATAATAAATATCACCAAGTTCAATATGACCAAGAAGCGAAGGAAGGAGAAATAAGACTGAATTCCTGTGCCAAATTTTCCTGGAAAACAGAAAAGCAAACCCCAATTAGCAGGAATATTAATCCAAATGGATCAATGAGGATCTGGTATCCTAAGAAATGGCTAGGGTTAAAGGTTGGGGTGATGGTCAAAAAAAAAAAAGGGTTGGGGTGATGGGAGAAGCAAAGAGATAGGTGAAAAGAATTACTTTTTGTTTTTTCTTTTAAGTGCTTTAATTTCCTTCCCCTGCTTCTGAATATCACCCCTGCTCTCCACCACACACACTTTTTAAAATTTAATAAAGCAAGCATCTATTGAGCTCCTGTTAATACCAGATACTATGCTAGGAAATAGAGAAACAAAAACAAAATTGAAATAATCCCTACCCTCAAAGTGAGTATATTCTATACATGGCCTTAGAAGGAAAAGAAAATCTCATATTTGAACACCCTTCCCCCTTTCCTCCTGCCGTTCCCCTACAAGTTTTTAAGTTGGTAGGAACGTAGAATGTGGAGGGTGAAAATAGGAGAGACCATATTTTATTGTGTTTCTTTGCAATATTCTACCTTAATTCCTAACTTTATGGGATACTACCATTATTATAAAATGTTTCACTTATTTGCCTTTTTTTACTATTTCTATCTCCCTTCACTAAGGTAGTTTCTGGTTCTGAGAAGTTTCTTGCAGCAACTCTGGCAATAATAACAATAGTTAACATTTATGTAATGCTTACTATGTGCCAGACACCAGGCTAAGCACTTTACAAATATTCACCCATTTGATCCTCATAAGAACCCTGAGAGGTAAGTGCTATTATTATCCCCAATTTACAGATGAGGAAACTGAGGCTAAGCGACTACATACAGCTATCACCTGAGGCCAGATTTTAACTTGAGAGTTCCAGACTCCAGGCTCACTGCTCTCCCTATAGTAGCACCTAGTTGGCCCAAAACTTGGAGGAGCTTGAAGATGAGGAGAGGTCGAGTGTATAAAGCTGAAAAACAACTTTCTCTGTTGTGCATTTCTCACCATGAATGATAATCTCCAGTCTCCTCCAACATGGTATTGGAAGGAATGTTGGGCTCAGAGTCAGAACACCTGATTTCATCTCCCTGAGTATCAGTGTCTGCATCTTAAAAAATGGAGATGGTAATAATATCTTCCTGACCTTACAAGTTGTTTGCAGGAAAAGTACTTTGTAAACTTTAAAACACTTCTGCAATATAAACAGAGGTGTGGTGGTGAATGCTTAACAATTGTCTCTGGGGGGAAATGTGCCCACAAGGTCCTTTTAAATTTCATTTACATCATTAACATTTACTTCATCACTTTCTCAAGTCAATGAAACAATAAATCAAGTCGTGATTGGTAGCAGTTTGCTGGATTTCTGAGGCGTCAAAGCTCACCCTGAATATTCCACAATGGGCTCTCATGAGCCATAATAATCTGGGTCCTGTGTACAGCTAAATACAATCAGATTTAGAGCTGGCAGAGATCTTAGAAGTTACCTCATCCAGTGCTCTGGTTCTACAGATGTGGAAAGCACAGATGAAAGGGAGGGGGGAAATGATCACACATACAGTCTAGTGGCAGTCAGGATTCGTATTCACATCTTTTGTTTACAAATTCAACACTATTTTCACTGAACTAGTTAATATTAAAAGCAAAAGTAACAATAATAACACAAATAAATAATGCAAGTAGAAATACTTTGCTAGTGTTATCCTGAAAACCGGTCACTCTTGGTTTCACTGACATCATTCTTGCGTGATGTGTATTTGACATCAATAATAAGGGACTATTCACATTATAGCTAGGGCAGCTAGGTGGTGCAATGGATAGAGCCCTGGGTCTAGAGTCAGGAAGATCTGAGTTCAAATCCAGCCTCAGGTACTTACTAGCTGTGTGATCGTGGGAAAGTCACTTAACCCTGCTTGCCTCAGTTTCCTCATCTGTAAAATAAGCTGGAGAAGGAAATGGCAAACCACTCTAGTGTCTTTGCCAAGAAAACCCCAAATAGGGTCACCAAGAGTCAATGACTCAACAGCAATAAATCCACATCATATTAAAATATGATCCTTATATAGTGCCTTCAACCCTGATATGGCCCTAGTACTAAAAAGTGAACCCTCAGTGAATGAGAAACATAACCTTCATTCACCATAGGGAACACTGGGGACATAAGCCGCTTGTCTAAAATAACATGCAGCAGACATGTTAAAATTTGTGTTTAGTGAAACACCTGGCAAACAGTCTTTCCTCCTGGGATTTTAGCAGGGGCAACTCACTGAGCTAGTGAGTAAATCTACAGACACAAGAAGCAAGAGGATAATGTGTGGGCTGAGAGAGCACAGGAGGGGATCAATTGCCCTCCAAGATTGAAGGTGTTTCAGGGGAAGGTGCCCACAGTCCCCTAGGTCTCATTACACCTGGGGAAACATACCATTCTCCAAAAGCCAATTAGAAAGAGGCTCTGATTTCTCCCACCTTCTGTTGGTTTTATTCCCAAATTAGGGTTAGACCAAGAAAGAAGATCAAGACAACAGAACAGGAGAGATTATAACAATAACAATAACAATAATAATAATAATAATAATAATAATAAATTTGTCAATAAGGTACAGTTTATAATCAAAAAAGGGATAGAGAGGAAAACAGATGATACAAACAGATGCACAAACAAAACTAATGCAATTCAAATGAAAAGGGAACATAACTGGGGAAAAAATCTTTGAAGCAAGTATCTCTAAGAAAAGTTTCATCAAAGTGAAGTGAGCAGAACCAGGAGGACGTTGTATATAGTAACAGCAATACTACACAGTAATCAACTGTGAAATGACTTAGTTATTCTCAACATTGCAACAATATAAGACAATTCCAAAGGACTAATGATGAAAAATGCTATCCACATCCAGAGAAATAACTGATGGAGTCTGAATACAGATCAAAGCATACTATTTACTTATTTTGTGGTGTTTGGGGTTTTGTTTTATTTTTCTGGTCTGTGTTTTCTTTCACAACATGACTACCATGGAAATATGTTTTGCATGATTGCACATATATAACCTATATCAAACTGCTCACTGTCTCAAAGACAGAAGAAGGAAAGGAAGAAGGGAAACCTTTGGAACTCAAAATTTCAGAAAACGAGTGCTGATTGTTTTTACATGCAATTGCGGAAAAAATATTATTCAAAAAAAGTTTTATTTACAAGATATACATGGAACATATTCAAATGTATAAGAATAAGAAACATTCTCCAATAGTGAAATGGTCAAAGGACATGACATAAACTGGTAGTTTTCAAAGGAAGAAAACAAAGCTTTCAAAACTGTACAAAAACAAGTTACAAATCTTAAATAGAGAAATGCACATTAAAAGAAGGCTGAAGAGGCAGCTAGGTGGCACACTGGATAGAGCACCAGCCCTGGAGTCAGGAGGACCTGAGTTCAAACGTGGCCTCAGACACATAACACTTACTAGCTGTGTGACTCTGGGCAAGTCACTTAACCCCAATTGCCTCACAAAAAAAAAGAAGAAGAAGAAGAAGTCTGAGGTTCTACCTCACAGTCATCAAATTCACAAAGATAGTAAGAGGAAAACGACAAATGTTAGAGGGCCTTCAAGAAAACAGGCAGACTGTGCACTGGTGATGGAGCTGTGACTCGATCCAGCCATTCTAAAAAGCAATTTGGAACAATGCCCCAAAAGTCACTAAACCATACATATGCTTTGACTCAGTTATAGCACTATGAGGCCAATACTCCAAAAAGATGTTGAAAGAGAAAAAAGGACCTACCTGTTTCAGGTTAACTCAAAATTGGAAACTAAAAGTATGCCCATGATCAGGGAATGGCTAAACAAATTGTCCATGAATGTAATGTATTATTATTGTAACATAAATGACAAAATGGACAGTTTCAAATGAAACTGTGAATATATCAATGAAATGATGAAATATGAAATGAACAGAACTAGGAAAACAGTTTATACAATGACATTATGAAGAAAAACAATTCGATGGATTTACCTATATGTACAAAAATATTTATAGCAGCTTTTTTTGTGATGGCAAAGAATTGTGAGCCAAGGATGCCCATCAATTGGGGAATGACTAAACAAATTGTGTACATGATTGTGATGGAATGCTATTATGCTGTAGAAATGATGAAGAAGATGGTTTCAGAAAAACCTGAGAAGATGTACATGAACTGATGAAAGGTAAAGTGAGCAAAACCAGAACGATATCTATAGCAATAGCAATATTGTAATGATCATCAATTCTGAAAGACCCAGCAACCAATCAATACAATGATCCAAGACAATTCCAAAGGATTCATGATGAAAAATGATGTCCATGGGGGGCAGCTAGGTGGTTCAGTGGATAGAGCACCGGCCCTGAAGTCAGGAAGACCTGAGTTCAAATCCAGCCTCAGACACATAACACTTACTAGCTGTGTGACCCTGGGCAAGTCACTTAACCCCACTACCTAGCTAAAAAAAAAAAGAAAAATGCTGTCCACCTCCAGAAAGAGAACTGATGTGCTCAGTGCAGATTAAAGCCTATTTTTTTCTCTTTATTTTTCTTGCTTCTCTCTCTCCCTCTCCCTCATTTTTTTTGGTGGGGGGGAACCAACATGGCCACCATGTTTCGCATAATTTCATATGTATAATGAGTATCATATTTCTTGCCTTCTCAAGGGGGAAGGGATAGTAGAAGGAGAGAATTTGGAACTGAAAATTAAAAATTAAATTAAAAAAGTGAAAAAGCAGGGCAGCTAGGTGGCGCAGTAGATAGAGCACTGGACCTGAAGTCAGGAGTACCTGAGTTCAAATCTGGCCTCAGACCAAACACTTGACACTTACTAGCTGTGTGACCCTGGGCAAGTAACTTAACCCCAACTGCTTAAAAAAAAGGGGAGGAGGAAAGTGCTGTATTTAAAATGCAGAATAAGATAAAATTTTAGACATTGACAATGAAGGAACTTGTTTTACTGAGCTATATGTTTATAATGAGGGTTTTCTTTTTCTTTCTCATGGGAGGAAGAGAGAGGGAATAGGTGAGAGAGATAAATGCTTTTGAAAATAAATAAGTGGATGGATGGATAGATGGGTGGTCAGGTATGTACATATACATATTTAGGTACACACATATGTATGTATCTTTTTCTTTCTTTCTTTCTTTCTTTTTTAGGCAATTGGGGTTAAGTGACTTGCCCAGGGTCACACAGCTAGTACATGTCAAGTGTTTGGTCTGAGGCTGCATTTGAACTCAGGTCCTCCTGACTTCAGGGCAGGTGCTCTATCCACTGTGCCACCTAGCTGCCTATGTATCTTAAAATTAAAGAAAGAAGCAGATCACTCCCCACAAAAAATTCCCAGTGAGAACCTGCCCTCCACCTCCCAACATTACTTTCCGAATAAAAATTCCATGAGCAGTGCTATTCAACCATACACAACACATCAATACCCTCTATGCTGCGAATGTCATTTTTCCACAGTTCCAAGTGGGAAGCTAGCTCCTTGGCCTCTTCAATAAATCTTTTCCATGACTTGGTGCTGTACTGTTTCCACTGGTCCCATTCCGATAAATATTTGACCTGGGCCTCCTGAATTTCCCTAAGTTAATAAAAATGGTAAAAAGATAACAGCAAAATTACATAATTTTGAACTAATATGTATATCTAAGGAATAGCTAGAGGACACAAAAATCTGTGTAATTTTCCCCCCTAAGAACACTATTTCCAGGTAAGATGGTATCATGCAGGAATATAGCCCAACTTCTTTTCCTAAGGCAAACAGAGGTAGCAATTTTTTCAGTGTTTAAACTGGCTCAAATCCATTCCAGCTGGTGAGGCAATATTAACAAAAATTGGGGCACTTGAAGCAGCCTGGGATATCTGAAATCCTATTAGAAATGCCAGAATGTCAGAAACTTCTGGGTAATAAATGAATCACAAGGACAAGACTGGACATTTTCTTTCATTCATTCATTCAACAAATATTTATTGAATGCCTATTATATGCAAGGAATATGTGGTAATATAAAGATGTGTAAGATAATGTCTCAGGTTGTATTAAGGGAAATGTAGTTAGAGTCTGGGTCAAAAAGAGACTTTAAGAGGTTAACTTTGATTCTCAGGCTGACCTCATCCTTCCTTTAATGTTTTTAAATGCATAAAATACATAAGATTACAAAGAAAACCAAATGTATTTAAATAGTTTATACATACATACATACATACATATATATATATATATATATATATATATATTTTTTTTTTTTTTTAAGATCACAAACTCCAAGTTGGAAACTTCTGCTCTATTAGATTCCAATGCGTTTTTCCATTCTTGGTTTACAACTCATGTTCTTAATCTTTGCCTTAAGGAAGCTTCTTTATAGAAAAGGTATCTCAGTAGAACCAGACCTTTTTTGGCATCTTCATAAAAGCCAAAAACAAGAGGAATCTGCTTATCTACCCACCTATATGTTAGATGACTGACCTGGCTTTATTTAGTATTCAGTACCTAACACCCTTAGTTTGTAGAGCTGAACAGCTAAATCCACCTAAGCTCCTGATGACCCCCTATCAATAAAGGAATTTGTTAAGCAGTGAAGGGTATTTTAATTCTCAGAGACAAAAACACCAAGACACAGAACAAAACTCAGAGAGAAAGGAAAAATTTTAAAAACAAAAACAGAAAGAAGGGAAAATACAAGAGGAAAACAGAAAGAAGATAAGAACCTATATAACAGGACACAGAGTGACATGGCCGACAGAGCAATTCAGGAATCTCCCCATATTACGGTCTTTTCGGATAATGTCACCAAAATCTTTCAAAGCCCTATTGGATTTTCATAATTATAGACATAAAACAGATTATCTCCTGTTAATTCCCCCAAGGAATTAAGCTAGGGGCCAAATCCAGACTGCAGATCAAAAATTCCCCACTTTGTTTCAGAATGAAACAACCTTTCACAATTTTCCAAAAACTGTCAAGTGTTAATTCAAATCTCACCTCTTCCTCTAAGAAAACAGCTAATGGTGCTACATAACATGACTATGATGGGGATAGGATCTGAACCCCTAAAGGGAAAAGATCATGTCTTTGGGATCTGGACCCAAAAAAAAAAAAGCCCTGGACTTTCCCACATAGCCAAATCTCTGGCGTTTGCCTGAGGCTATAATTCTATCACCTGAGGCTATAATTCTATCACCAGGCCTTTCATTATGGCCTATCCCCAATCTTCCAATTTTCTGTTACACTTAACCTAGCCTAGCCCTACATTGTATTACCTCACTATGCCCCGCCCCCTCACTTCCCACCCTTAACCAAATACTTAGATTCCTTAGGAGTTGGGCCAATGAGAGATTCTTTAAATCTCACACTCCCCTCCTCCCCTCCACAGATGTTCTGAAAAACCTTGTCTTTGACTGAAAGAAGGTGTGGGTCAAATTCATTTGGGCAGTACCTGTATGTCGTGATTTTGGGGACCCAGAACCCCTAAACTTCTAAATCTCAACAACTTGATCGTTTCTTTAAGTGATCTTTAAGCATATGGAGTAAATTAGCTTTTCCTCCCACCTGTTAGATATTAAAGCTGAAAAATGATCCCAGGTCATAAGAATTAAACGTTGCTCCCTACCCAAATAAAGTACCACAGTATATTTATTTTACAAGCCAATTGATCTGAACTTTTAGAGAGTCCAAATCTGCCACGATGCATAGAGGCCCAATAGCTATGTTAAAGATCCTATATAACTTCGGCTATCTAGATTCTTTCAAACCCAAGTACCATAAGAATAAATAAAAAGACTGTGGGTTCTGGGAAAGCTTCCACAAAGAGCCATCTAGGTGGTGCTGGGCAAAGACCTGAGTTCACATCTCTTCTCTGACATTTAATAGGTATATAACCTTGAGCAAGTCATTTAACTGCTAACTGTCTCAGTTTCCTCAACAATAGGGATAATAATAATGATCAGGGCGGGGCCCAAACCAAGATCTTCGCCCTTTGCCCCAAAGGGAATCTGACCTGAGTCACAGGCCCCAGACCCTCATCCTTTTAATCTTAATTCAGATCTGGCTCCCTTTTGTCTATAGGCCCCAGAAAGGCCTTCCTTTATCTCCTTTTGAAAGTCCTAGCCCCACCTTGATTTTGTGCAGATGCCTTTCAAACTTCTGCCTTCCTGTTCCCTCCATTAGCTATTCCCATTGTCTATTCAATCTCTCAGACCTCCCCAATTAGAATTCTTACCTAGACCCTTTTCCCAACCCCCTTCTCTGGCCACCCAAAGTTACTTTAGTATTTAAGATCCACCTTGGCCCTCATTCAGATGCTGAAAATCTCATGCTCAAAAGGCTGAGAACCTCTCATGCCCTCTGGTCTTTACGGGTGTCACCCAGCTGAGAATCTCTCGTGCCCCAAAAGGCTGAGCCTTTCTCATGCCCGCCTGTCCTTATGGGCGTCACCTGGCCTCTGTGATTTATCACTAATAAACTTTTCCTCTGGCTGAAGAAGATTTGAGTTGAATTCATTCAGCAGAGCCCGGTACCACGATCTTGGGGTCCCAGCACCCAAAAAGTCCTAGACCTCTTCAATAGTACCTATCTCACAGGGTTGTTGTGAGGATGAGAAAATGTTTGTAAAGAGCTTTGCAAACCTTAAAGCACTATTTAAATGCTGCTATATTAGCATTATTATCATTATTATCATAATCATTAAAGAGTTGAAATTTAAATAATGGGCAAAGTTCCAACTGCCAGAAGTAGGGAATGGAGCATTTCAGACAAAGGAATAACACATACACAGAGACATGCAGGCAAAAAAGTAAATCACAGGAATGCCAAGGAGGAAGCAGTATAGCTCTTGGAAGGAGCCTTCATTTTGGAAGGAGCCTCCAATTTGAAGCTGGAAGATTGAGGTTCAAATCTTTGCCTTATCACTTACCACCATGTGACCTTGGCAGAGTCATATCACCTCTTAGGGCCTCAGTTTTTTCATCTGTGAAATGAAGGTACTGGACTAGATCAGGGTTTCCAAACTTTTTCAGTTGTTATACCCCTTGAATGCCAGTAAACCTTACACTACCCCCTTTCAATATGAAAAGAATAATAAATTCTAGAGTTTGCCCTGCATGCATACAAATGAGATAAAATAAAGTGATTCAGTGGCTTTCTTTTTAAGTATTCAGAGGAGCCCAGGGCTATTACAAATCAATTTAAGCAGAATTTTTTACCTTCATTGATTAGAAATCTATTTCTTTTAAATCAAATCAAAATATTCACTGTACACTCTTGACAACCTTTTTAATGTCACTTGGGGTTATGAGAGACCCAGGCTGGGAATCTCTGGACATTTCTAAAATTACTCCCAACTCTAAATCTGTGATTCTATGATTGTAGTCTGGTTTGGCTTTAGCTAAGAGTATATAGGAAGATATGGAAATGTGTTTTGCATGATGGCACGTATATAACCTATATCAAATTGCTTACTGTTTCAGGGAGTGAGGGAAAGAATTTGGAACTCAAAATATTAAAAAAATGTTAAAAATTGTTTTTACATGCAATTAGGAATTTTAAAAAAACAGGTCACTTTTTAAAAAAAAAAGTATATGGAAAAAATAGCATGGGGCAAGGCTAGCACCAAGCCTAGTATTTAAGGCCCTCCGGAATCTGTCCACATTTACAACCTTATTTCCAGGAAACCTCAACCAGGAACCCTGTGATCCAAGTAGGCTGGGCTACTTAACTGTCTCCTGAACACATCTTGCCCAGTTCTATCCAGTGTGCCTTCACTCATGCTATGCTACTCCTCCCCAGGTAGGGAATTCCTATTCTTTCTTAAATTCTATCTCTACTATGAAAGCCTACGCTTACCCCTTTCTCCTAATGACTCCTCTCATCTCTGAATGACTAATACACTTGTTGTCTATACCCTTCATTTTTCACAATCATATATAATATCACATTACATTGTTATTTAATTTTTCAAGTGTGTTTTTCCCATCTTCTGCACTAGATTGTAAAGCACCACCTCTTAACTTGAGGTTTTTCCTTGACCTCCCTCCAGATTCTAGTTATTCTACCACCAAATAACCTTGTATTTAAAATATAATATCAAAATAGATATTAAATGCATCAAAATATATGTTACATATATGTAATATTTCAAACATCAAAAATTAATTCTGTAGGCAGCTAGGTAGCATGGCAGATGGAGTACCACCTGGAATCAGGCAGACCTGAGTTCAAATCTGATCTCAGACACTTTTTTTTTAATGACTTTTAAATTTTTTTCTTATTCCATACTAAAACAACAATTAACAGCTATTTCTGCATTCAAACAAGAACAGAATGAAATCAAATTTATAACAATGGATGGAGCACTGAGCTTGGAGTCAGGAAGACGAGTTCAAATGTAGCTCCAGCCATTTACTAGCTTTGTTACCCTGGGCCAAGTCCCTTAACCTATCTGCCTCAGTTTGCTCATCTATAAAATAAGGATAATAATACCACTTACCTCCCAGGGTTGTTGTGAGGATCAAATGAGAAAATATTTATGAATCGCTTTGCAGCCTTAAGTGCCATATAATAATATCATAAGAGTGCTTTGCAAAATTGAAATAGCTATATAAATGCTAATTATTATTATTTATTTTGTATCTATCTTATATAGACTTTATAGGTACATGTCTTCTCTTCTGATAAAATGTTAGCTCCTAAAGAGGATAAATGCTTTCCTTTTTAAAATATGTAACTCCAGCACTTATCAATCCATCAAGGAAGGAACCATTTATTAGGCATTTACTGTATTCCAAGAAAAAAAGCAAAAAGTCCCTACCCTGAAGGAATTTTAATTCTGCTAAGCACTGGGTAGAGCCTGATAGAATAGGTGCTTAATAAATGCTGACTGATTCCTAAAAGCAGGATCCATGTCTTATACTTTTATAATCTCCATTACCCCTAACAGAGGTAGTAGGAGCTCAATGAATATTTGTTGAATGAATCTTCACACCCCATGATACTATCTATTAACATGTTCTGCATGAACCTGAAAAATCGCTGTGGACCAAACCTTAGTCTCCTCTTCTCAGAGATATTCAATGCATATTTTCTTATGGACTGGCTCCCAAGGTGTTCCTTCTCTGATCTTCCTGCTTCTGAAGAGACCCTGTTTTCAGAGCTGGCTGGCTTCAGCAAAGTGCCTCCTGTTTTATCCCTCCCAAGGATGGTGGTCCTCCTCCGAATAAGGGACCGGTAACTGGGGAGCTCTTGAAGGAAACTCATAGTCATTGAAGTAAAGACGCTGGAATCTGAGGTGTCTGTGCAAACACAAAGGAAGAGAAAACATCAGTATCAAATGGGAAGTAACACCTATGGCATCATCATAATAAAATAATAGGGCAGCTAGGTGGCACAGTGGATAGGTGGCACTCATCTTCCTGAGTTCAAATCTGGCCTCAGACTTACTAGCTGTATGAGCCTGGGAGGTCACTTAATCCTATTTGCCTCAGTTTCCTCATCTATATAGGGCAGGTAGGTGATGCAGGGGACAGAATGGAGGGCCTGGAGTCAGGAAGACTCATCTTCTTAAGTTTGAATCTGGCCCCAGACACTGACTGTGTAAGCCCGGCAAGTCACTTAACCCCCTATTTGCTTCAGTTTCCCTCATCTGTAAAATGAGCTGGAGAAGATGGCAAACCACTCCAGTATCTTTGCCAAGAAAACCGTGAATGAGATCACAAAGAGGTGGATACGACTGAACAACAACAACAATAATAATAACAACAAAGTTTGCAACACAGTAGCCCATACACCATAAGCAGCCTTGTAAAATTCACTTCCTTAGGTCAGTGGCAAAGTCATATTGATCTCATTTAACTGGTTTATTGGGAAGGAAGAAATAACAACAAAATCATTTGTAGGAGTAGCAATAACAACAACAATAACAGCTAGCATTTATATGATGCTTTAATTTACAGAGCATTTTTCATTCATGATGTTGTTTGGTCTTCCCAACAACCCTAGGTGCTTATCATCCCCATTTTATACATGAGGAAACTAGGTTCAAAGAGATTAATTGACTTGCCTAGGGTCATATATCTAGTAAATATTTGGGCAGGATTTGAACCCAGGTCTTCCTGACTCTACCTCTAGCCCTCTATCTAGTTCTATGCTGTACTTATCCAAGGAGGAAATATGGGTCTTATCCTACACAATAACCAGTCTTGAAAAAAATCACTTCCGGGGCAGCTAGGTGGCGCAGTGGATAGAGCACTGGCCCTGAAGTCAGGAGAACCTGAGTTCAAATCCGGCCTCAGACCAGACACTTGACATTTACTAGCTGTGTGACCCTGGGCCAGTCACTCAACCCCAATTGCCTCATTAAAAAAAAAAAAGAAAGAAAGAAAAAGAAAAAAAATCACTTCCTTGAGTCAGTGGCAAAGTCATATTGATCTCATTTAATTTGCTTATTGGGATGGAAGGAGCAGTAAACTCACTTATCGTAGGTAGATTTATTTTCTGTACAGGGTATTCCTTTGCAGAGCTGTGATAGTCTACTGATGGAGTTTGAGACTTGTAATAACAACTCATTTTGTGATGTAAAATACTTTAAAGCTTGCTAAGTGCTTTTCTTGACCATCCCACAGGAGAAGTTTTAAAAGTATTATTGTGCCCATTTTATTGATAAGGAGACTGAAGCTCTGAAAGAGATCTACTTTACCCATGATTACACAGTTAGTGGTCTTGAGGAATGTTTCAAATCTAGGTCTCCAGAAAGCAAGGCTATCTACACCATACTGCATCCCATAAGACTTCATGTGGTGTCCAGACTCTTTGCCTACCTACGTAACCCTGAACAAGGCACTTTACCTCATTTCTTTCTCAACGTCAAATAAAGATAATTAATTCTTGCCTATTTATTGACTTCTGAGAAACTTGGGAAGACGTTTACAAGCTGATATAAAGTAAGCAGAGTAATGACCACATTGATATAAAAGAAAGCAATACTAAAAATCAGAACCTGGATCAATATATTGACCAACCTTTACACCAGAGTATAGAAGATGAAATCATACCTTCTTCCTTTCATCTGACAAGTGTATGTTCAAAATGAGGCATATTTGGTTAGACTTTAGGTCAGTTTGTTTTACCTAACTGTATCTCTTTGTTACAAAGGAGGGTTTGTTTGGAGAAAGAGTGCAAAAGATTGTTGGGAGAAGTGTTACTAGAAAGTTAAAGGGGTAAAAAACATCAACACAACAATTTTTTAAAAGATTAATTGGGATAATATGTATGAAACCACTTTGGAAAGCAAGAACAAGTAGATAAATACATGTTACTAGCTGTTATTATCATTTAAAATTACAATCATGGATCAACTATAGACTTAGGGACTCTTTTCCGAAAGTCCGTGCACTAAGCTTTCTTTTAGCTGGCACATTGAGGCACAAGTCATGTTTACCAGCTGGCACTTTGCCTGGCGTGACACACACACAAAAGTGAATTGTGTTCTCTCTGGTCCCTTTGCTACAAAAAAGGGGCCCAAGCTTGCTCCATAATGGGGTCATGCTCTGAGGACAAGCTTACTTCCCTACATCTCATGAAACAAAAGAGCTTTATTAACAAAGAAGAGAAGTCTTTACACAGGAAGCAGGAGCTACCAAATGGCCATGTTGCCTATTTTCTCCATTAGAGACATGCAGATAGCTTGCCCTCTCTAAATTTCACTGCAAAAGACAAGACTGGTAATCCTTCAGTGTTTCTTTATAAAAGGAAAAAAACAAAATACTTTTCTTTCAGGCAGCTAGTGGATAGAGCACCGGCCCTGGAGTCAGGAGAACCTGAGTTCAAATCCGGCCTCTGACACATAACACTTAGTAGCTGTGTGACCCTGGGCTAGTCACTTAACCCCAATTGCCTCACCAAAAAAAGAAGAAGCTTTTCTTGATCCCCTTTAATGTTAGTTAATATCCCTCTGTTGGATATGTCCAATTAAATGTGTATATTGTTGTTTGTATGTTGTCTCTCCAATTAGACTGGGATCTCCTTGAAGGCAGGGAAGTTTTTGCCTTTATTTGTTTCCCCAGCACTTAGCACAGTGCCTGCCATATAGAAGGCACTTGATAAATGTTAGTTAACTTGACTATCCTGATTTTTCAGATGAAGACTGTGGAGACTAGAGTGCTTAAGTAGTTTACCCAGGATCACATAAAAAGTGAGAGTGTACAGGTATTACATATTGTGGAGGATTCAACTGGGAGCATACTGGAAGTCTTTATGTGTTGAAATAAAATATATCAATGTACCTTTTTTAAAAGTTAGTAATACAGCTGTAATTATGAGCCAGATCATCTCACACATAAGTCCAAACCTCTTTCAACTATACCATTAACTTGTCTTAGAGTTGATTAGGGTTGCCTGGTTTCTGACATTATATTCTCCCACAATCTCCAAAACCATGACCACCCCTTCTCCCCCAAAGTAGGGAAATGAAAATTAAAGTGAATTTTGACAATTTGACAAAAGCATTTGAGGCCATTCCACAAAAGATAAATAGACAAAGGATATAAAGGCAGTTTAAAAAATGCAAACTACCAGCAAGCATATGAAATACGCTCCAAATCAATAATAGGAAAAATGCTAATTAACTCTGAGGTTCTACTTTACACTCATTACATTGGCAAAGGTGACAGAAAAAGAAAATGATAACTGATGGAGAAGCTTTGAGAGGACAGGCACAACAATGCACTGTTGGTGGAAATGTGAATTTGTCTAAGCATTCTGGAAAGCAATTTGGAACTCTATCCCGAAAGCCACTTAACTGAGACCCAGCAATATCACCACCGGGCTTGTACCTCAACAAGATCTGAGAATGTGGAAAAGGACCCAACCATAGAAAAATATTTACGGAAGCATCTTTTTCTCATAGGAAAGAACTAGAAATAAAGGGAGTATACATCGGTTGAGGAATGTATAAAGAAATATATGCTCTATGAATGTAATGAAATACTATCTTTATATATATATTATATACACACACACACACATACATACATATATATATACATATATATATAGAGAGAGAGAGAGAGAGAGGAGAGAGAGAGAGAGAGAGAGAGAGAGACAGAGGGAGGGAGAGAAGGAGAGAGAGAAAGAGATAGCAAGAGTGATGGATTCTGAGAAGCCTGGGAAGGCTTACATAAATTAAGGTACAGGAGAGAAAGCAGAACCAGAATAACAATGTCTATAATAGGTATAACATTGTGAACACTGTAAAGAAAAACAAATTTGAAGGAATTAAGAACTCTGATCAAAGCAATGAATAAGAAGCCCTGTGCTGAGCACACAGTAAGTAAGCACGTGGTAAAAGTTTGTTTTTGCCTTTGAAATGACATGAAATGACATTTTAACAACAGATTGGCCTTCCTCATGTTTCAAGCTTATTACTAAAAGTGAGTTTTCATTTTCCTGAACATCTATTTGGTAAAGGAAAGAGACAGAGATTCCTAAAGTTAGCCTGGGGTGAACAATAGCTATAATAAAAGAAAAATCATAATATTTTGTTTCAAATTCTATACTTCTTAAAGGATAATATACATTTAAAGGAAAACACACACTGGTTGGAGGTCAGAGGACATGGTTTCATGTCTTGGCTTTAATTAGTTATGAGACATTGGGTAAGTCATTTATAGTCTCTCTCATTTCATACTCTTAAAGATGAGGAGTTTGGACCACATGGTCTCTAAGGTTCCTTCCAACTCTTAAATCTACAGCCCTATGATCCCATTTGACCTTCACAAGCACAATGAAAGCTAATGCAGATATTATTTTTAAATACTTCATTATAAACTTAATATTAAATGTCAATAAAACTAAATATACTTTATGAATACATATACAGGGTATATATACCAAGTCAGTACAATTTTAAGCTATTAAAATTTAACGCTGCATAAAGACTTTTGGGACACTCTGTATTTAAATTAATTTCAATGTATAAATCATCACTTTTCCAACTCTCTAAGTCTCAGTCTATCAGGATTCACTGTCCATTCATGTTTACTGACTTTTCTTTTTATGTATCTATAGTTCTTATGTACTTTATTATAGGGGTTCTGCTTTTTTCCACATCGTTATTTCATAAAGTACTTCAAAATTTCTTTATATTCCTTACACTTGTTGGTCTTAATTACATTATACATGAATGTACCACAATTTATTTAACTGTTCCTCCACTGTTGGACGCTTAAATAGCTTTCTGTGTGTGTGTGTGTGTGTGTGTGTGTGTGTGTGTGTGTGTTAAATGATAAATAATTCA